GGCCATTGGACCATAGACCGGCCGCCACGTCTGGGAAACGACTTCATCCACTGATCCATCATCAGTCAGATTGATACCGCTTCACAAAGCCGCAGACGCTTCTGATTGGAGCACATTGTCACCTCATCGTACATCTCTCGACCCGGAGGCTTGCTAGGCGGAGCCTACGGCGGTATGGCGGCGAGCCAGTCGTGGACAGCAGTCAGTGCGGCGGGTGGAGGGCTGCCAGCTCAAAGGTCTGCTCGGCGATGAATTGCGACGTGACGGCGCGGTCTAGAGCTAGCCTCTAGATGGTAGCCAGATACGCCGGACGGAGAATGGCTTGGGCTTCTGGATTTGCGTCTCGTATCACACCGTTTCCGGGGCTGCCCACAGCGACTCGCATACCCGCAGGAGAACGAAAATAGGCGGAGGTGCCCCCTAACCACATACATGGCGAAGTTCCATTGCGCCGACATCACAGGAACGACATCCGTGTAGGAGAAGATCACGAGATGTCCTTACGCGAGGGTTTGCCTATAAAGACCATACATTCCGACTCCATGTGTCTTCGTCTCCTCATCCTACCTCTACACTATCCTCGTCACGTATTTCCATCCTTCTCCACACTCTCCCCGTCCACAGCGCCATGGCAAGTAAAGAAGCAAATAGCGACAAACTCACCGGCTGGTCAGCCTAGGGCGGAGAGGGTCAATCCGGGCCGAAATATATTCGCGAATACAATGTCGACGACTCCAGTTGTGATCCCGTTTTCGAAGGTCACATCGAATTGGAAGAACTTACCTATGTGAACGAGGCACTTAAATCCTGCCACATGCCAGCAGACAGTGGAATCGATCATGTCGGCTGTAATGAAACTGCCGCTGCGAGCACTACTTGTACATGTGGCAGCCTCTTTGCTGTGACGGACCGCAAGATCAGAGACCTTTGCTACAACGAGCACTGCGAAATTCGAAATCAGCTGGCCGACATCAGCTCTCGTCTCGGCGCCTTAGAAGCTCAACTTGCCAATACCAAACCCGTCTGTCAGGAGTGCCACAGCACCAAGGATCAGGGTGGTTTTCCATACATGGAAAGGCCTGCAATCGATAATCGGTATCGGCCCCACATTTATTGCAAGTATTGCAATACACCTTTCCATACTTGGTCCGTGCACGACGACAAAATGTCACTGAAGACACCTTCGACAAGATGGACAAATTCACACCATATGGTGAATTAAAAATACGAAGTAATTGATTGAGCTCAATGATAATGTCCAAAAGAGAGGGTAGGCAAATCTTACGTGTTTTGTTCCAAGACGAGGAGGGAAATCAGACGGGAATTTGCACGAATTCTCACGCCACGGTCACGCCACCGCCCTTCCTCTTCAAGACATTGTTCTTCACCCAATGCTTCAACCAATTCTCCCTTTTCAATTTGGTCCGCATCCAATTGTGCCCTTTCCCAGGAGATCGTACGACGAGCCCCTGAAAACACCCGTTCCGGCTCGTCGCTCATCGCTGGCATTGATAGGATGTCTATTGCCATTCGTGATAACTTCGGCCGTCGGTTCCTATGTCGCTCTTGAAGCCACCATGATAAAGCAGTTGTTGGCGCAATCTCATATGGATCACCTGAGATGTAATCTTCATACTCGTCTTGACTTGTAGGTCGAGCACAATTCTGCAGATTTCTTGAAATACGATCAAATGCATCAAGGCCATTGTCTTCTTCTTCGTCCAGTACATGATACGAAATTGTACCGTCGTTTGTATTTCGGTAAGAGTAGCAAAGGTCTTTGACCCGTTTGAAAGCAGTTTTATGCCACTTCTTCTAATTTGAGTGGATGTACGTCGTGCGATAGCTTGGATGAAGGACCAAAGAAGCGGCGTAATAGGGCGAATTCTCTTTATTGATAATTTCTTGGTCAAGGTAGCCTTTGAAGACACGGCCCAGATCCACGCTTGCCCGTAGAGTTGATCAAATCCTTCGATGATGGACGGTTGAAGAGGAGATAAATTCTCTGCGACGTTGATGACATACTTTCTTGCCCTCAGGGTGTTTTCGAAAGCTGGCTGTGACAGAAGTACTGTAGGGATCATTCTGGGGACAATAAAGATAATATATGAGGCGGTTCCTGCCTTTGAACTCCGCTTCCCCTAACCCTTTTACTACCGGTACATTACTGCCAGATGAGCATGTTTTCATGATCCAAAAGCAGGTTTTTCTCTTGTCTTGGGAGATATAGACGCGAATGAATCCGAAGCAATGGATTCAGAATCGAAGAAACATAACTAACACAGGCTCAGAATCCATTGTCGCCAGGTGATAATGGTATGCTGTGGGTTGGTGGTGAGGCTGATTTTGTGGATGTGCGGATTTGTAGCGGGGTTCCAGGCCCACAGCCCTGTAGGTAGCCCCCTGTAGGAACCCTTGTTAGTGGCGTGGTTCAGCCAATAGTATGGAAATACATGGATCCATATCCATACCTATTCCATGCCATTCATGGAAAGGGTATTTCCATATTTAGATATGGAAAACCACCCTGGTCGACGTATTGGAGATAACTCAGCTTGTTCTGCCGTACGCTTAGAGGCGCGTGAGGCTCGCCGATTCCTACAGTCGAGACAGTCAGCCGTAAGTCCTCTATATGATATGGAAGATTTTTTCTTCGATATGAATTGATCGGCCGGCTTGGCCTGCTTGCAGCTCCTGCAAGTTTTCGTTGAAGAGATAGAATCAGCCATGACTGTGTTGGATTGGAGGGACGGTTTGATGAGGAAGACAGGAGAAGGCTCGCCGGTCGGGGCTCGCGCAAATAGCCTTGAGGAACGAAAGTTGGCGAAGGGAGCGAGAAATGGGAGAAGAAAAAAACAGAGGGTGTGGACAGAAGAGGCCGAATTGATGGCTGCAAATGTCATGTTCACTTTTCTCACTTGCATTGACGAAGACGGGAAGGGCACCAATGCAGGTGTGCGTTGTCCATGTCTCAGCTGGAGAGGTCAGCGGCCGGCAAAGGTGGATAATGCAACGGGATGAGCCGTAGGGATACTGTTCACCAATCTATATGTGAGGCAAACATGAACGTGAAAGCCGCAACATACCTAGCCATGCAACACAAGATGCCCTTATAGCAGCTCATAGTACCGAATACGCCGAGCCGAGCTAAAGCTACCGTCAGCGTGCTGCCCGTGCCATGCCGTAGGTCTCTAGCAGGCCTTCCGTTTCAAGGGCGATAGAATACTGGCCGTAGAAGTCACGGATGGCGGCTTGGGCGGCTCGGTCGGCGAAGAAGGGGCCAAGACGGCATCCAAGCTCGGCTTATTGTAGAAAGTCCAAGTGTCTGGCACGACGATGAAGACAAGATCGCGGTCCAGCTCTGGTGGGTGAACCATAACTCGATGATCGAGAAAAGGCTACCACCTTGCCTGTACACACAAACAAGGTATGACTCTGAAACCGGGTCTGCCTCTTCTCAATCATCTTGGCGCAGAGGGACGTCCAGGGGTTAGCATGGATTGGGAACATGACAAACACCTGAAAAGGATGAAATCCTCCGAACGGGGTTTCTGCCGGGTTGCCGGGAACAATATAGGTGGACAACTGCACGAAGCCACAGCATTTAAGCTGGTCGTCTCCCAGGCCGGCCACGAGCTCGCGGCGAAGAAGAGAACAACCGGAGCCAATAATGGGCCCGGAAAAGCTAGCGACAGGCCAGTGATCGGAATGGTCCGGTATGAGTTGGTATTGGTATGGTAAATACCGCCAAGACCTGGTATGGTTTGACAAAAACTTGATACCATGGTATTACCGGTATACCGAATCATACCAGTAACGCTAAAAATAAGCTCAGGTAAGAGGCTCACTGCGGAGAATGACCAGGCAGAATCCGAGCGGCGATGATTCCAGTGTCATCTGTAGGGCTTATTGACCAGTTTTCTGCCAGTTTATCTACTCCATTCAATCATGAATACCATCATCCTCACAATATCGACCTGGCTACCTTGGTCAGGTCGATCCCGGCACCGAACGGATGCTTTTCGTCTTTGCTGCCGGGTAGCTATCCCAGGAAGGCCCGAAGGTAAGGCGAGTGTTAGTGCGTATTAGAAAGTACTTCTCATTGCACCCAGTTTTATGAGTTCTTCCATGTAGGACGGAGCATGACCTAACGTATCACTGGCCAGACTTGTCAATCGCGTCGTCGGAGGGACAGGAAAAGCTTAAATGATCCTTTCAGGGACAGGAAAGCTTAAATGATCCTTTCAATCGAATTACTTCCGTGATGTTGGAGCCCGAAAATTTTTACGTTAGGCTAGTTGGACGATGGACCAAGATCGAATGATCGAAAGCCACCATACCTTAATTGGTGTATGTCATGATCATGGAATCTCCAGCGCCAACCTCGCCATCTTCGTTTACGACAAGTTCAGCATCAATCCGCTCCAGATCTCCTGCATCGTGTCCCGCGCCACATTTTTCCGCTACGACGCCATCGTCTAATTCTGTCCGTTATCCTGAGCCTCCGGACGAATTCGTACAAGACCATGTCACGTACCTGCGTCGCGCGAAGACGACGAAGAAGGCAGCTCGTCTCGGCTCGTCGCATGTGTGGAAGTACGGTCTTCATTACATCCGAGACAGTGACAAGAAAGAGGTATACTACTGTCACGAATGTGCGATCGGAAAGTATAAGCAAGAGTTATTTGTGATCAATGGCACGTCGGGAGTGAGAAATCATCTCGAACAGAGGCACCAGATTGATCCACAAAGCGGCGTGAGGAAACGCGGTGCGACACGGGCGTCTGTATTGGAGCAACAGAAAGCGCAGCTGCTAGTAGCAATTTTTCTGGAAAGATACCGTTGAGAGGTTCAAAGAGCTTTTGATTCGTTGGGTTGTGTACTGCCATATTGCTTTCTTCCAGTTGGAGAACCAGTACTTCCGAGAGCTACTCTTCTTTCTGAACCCTGCTCTACTTAATCACCTCCCAAAGGCTGCGAAAACAATTCGAGGTTGGGTTATGGATGCGTTCCTGTCGAAGAAGCAACAGCTGAAAGAGGACCTCCAGCGGTCGCGGAGTAGAATCTCCATCTCCTTCGACCTCTGGACCTCGCCAAACCCGTACGCAATCCTGGGTGTCGTCGCCATGTGGATTGACGCCACCGGCAAGCGACGAAGTACCGTCCTGGGCATGCGACGCGTTCATGGCGAGCACAGTGGCGAGAATCTTGGGTCGACCGTTCTCGAATTATTGACGGAATATGACATTGGCGGAGATCAGATTGGATACTTCATGCTGGACAATGCTTCATCCAATGATACCGCTGTTGAGTTTATACTCAAGGAGCTCTGCCCATGGATGAAGCCGCAACAGCGTCGCCATCGCCGACTGCGCTGCTTGGGTCACATTGTCAACCTCTGCTGCCAGGCGTTTCTCATGGGTCGAAATTGTGAGAAGCATTTGGCGAAGCTTGAAAAGCACCACCAGCGCGGAGATTACGTGAAGGTAGAGGAGCTGTGGAAGAAGTTTGGATGTTTAGGCCGGCTCCATAACCTTGTGCGGTACATCCGGCTTACTCCTCAAAGGCGGGAGGAGTTTGCAGCAATTATTATCGGCGGCCATCTCTCCGAATTCGATGGGCTCGAGCTTATCCAGAACAACTCCACACGCTGGAATTCGTGGTTTCATTCGATCACACGAGCGTTAAATGTTCGAGAACGTTTGGAAATCTTCTCAGCTCGTCATGTACCAGGAGAGGGTCTCAAGGGATTTCGAACTTCAAACTAGATGGACAGCACTGGTTCGAGCTTGAAAGATCGAGCTCGCACTAAAAGACTTCTTCGCGGCAACTATGCTTGCTGAAGGAAACAAGACATCCCTCGCTGACTGGTTTTCGACTTTGGACTGTCTTCTCCGCGAGATCAACGAGACGAAGGATCACTACCATGACATTCACGAGGAAGACGACGACGACAACTTCACGTGGAGGTATCTCCAAGGTTGTGCAGATGCTGCGTGGTCAAAGTGCGAGGAGTATTACAGCAACCGACAACGGAATTGGCAACATCGATTTCCTGAAGATACTGATCTTCCGCCAGCGTATTACGCAGCTCAAGTACTCAATCCGTATCGAAAGTGGGCATGGTTCAGGCAAGAATGGGTTCTTCAGGGCGACGAAGGAAGACAGAAGTGGTATGAAAGCGCACAGCTGGCGGTGAAGCAGCTCTGGGAGACAGAGTAGTGGCTATCCCGTTATGACTCGCAAAGAGACCTCGCCCGCTTCGCTCTGGATCTATTTGCGGTTTCCCCAATGTCAGATGAGTGCGAACGGCTGTTTAGTAGCGCAAAGCTTGGTATAGTTGATCGTCGAGGTAGGCTTAAGGCAGATATCATAGAGGCTTGTGAGTGTCTACGTGCCTGGTATGGGAAGCCTCGGGCTGAGGATAGCGAAGATAGCGGGGATAGCGAGAATGAAAGCGAATAAGCGATCAAGTTGACAACTAGTAGCCAATACATTTCCCTATTTTTGCAACCCGCCTCATTCTGAGCGGTCTTGGCGGTATTACTGGTATTACCGGTAAGCCATACCGGTAAGGATATCAGCAGGTGGTATGGTATGGTATAGAGGTCATACCATACCATACCGGACCATTCCGATCACTGCGACAGGCGACATTGTGGGAAAGGATCGATCCGCAGAGGTCGATCGTTGGCCAATCCTGTTGCGCATGTGAGGGATTCGATCGTCAGCTCGGGGGGCACTCATACAGACGCTTGGAAGCCAAGGTCGCGGATAATCAGCGCAGGAGCGCAGTAGTCGACGGGCCCCTCAACCGGTCCTCGCCAAGGGGTCGGGTCGAGGTCCCATGCAAGGACGTAGGGATGAACGCGGCCATGCATCAGGAAGTATTGTTCCTGCCACTCGGACGCAACGATCGGCTTGTTGTAGAGGCTGATGTTGAGGCTGAAGAAGGCTTGGCTGAAGAAATCGTCGTCGGCGTCGGCGGTATGTATGTATGTATGTATGTGCATTTTCCGTCCAGCGGCCGTGAGGCCGCTCAGGTCTGGGTGGGGCACAGGACGTGCTGAGCTAGTAGGCTGTCTACAGTCTCTCTCGCAAACGTAAACAACCACCATCCAGCATTTCATCGGCTCTGAGGCGCTCCGTGTTGAACCTGGTGCCCGTCAGCGGGTCGTGCAGGCGCGGCGGTGAGATCCCGTTGTCGGAGACTGCAGAGCGCAGCCTCAGTTGGCCCGGCCGGGCAAAGGGTGTTGCAGCACCTCTGCCTGGCCGAATCCGGGGATTTGAACAAAGGAAAGAGGTGAGGGAAAGGTATGATGCAGCCGCCTAGTGGCGAGGGCAAGCCCATTCAAAGAAGGAGGACGCCTTCGCCAGCTTGACGAACCTGTCGAAGTCTCTGCCTTTGCGCGATTGACTGCTGCAGTAGGTGAGGGCGTCAGCCTCATCCGATGCCGCGGCTCGATCTTTCGGCAATAAAAGACATGGTTTGGCTCTTTTCGTCGGCCACATGAGCACGTCAGTCGCGCATCGTCGTGGTTGAACCTCTCGTGGTAGTCGGCAAAGTCCCGTGACGGGTTCTGGCTGCAAGCAGGTGGTGGAGAAGCGGTCGGGGGAGTTTGAGCTCCAGGGGGCAGCCGGTCGTCGGCTTAAGGTGCAGTGGCTTGTACTGTTCGGGTGCGGAGGCTTCCCACCAGGCTTTAAATGCACTTTTAGGCTGCTGCCTAGCAGCCCTGCGCAGATATGCCAGTGTTGGGATAGCGCCTGCGGGCTCGGGTTGAGAGGTTCCTGCCTTTGCTAAGGCATCAGCCTGCTCGTTGCCGGGGATTTTGGTGTGGCCGGGGGTCCAGCGGACCTCCGTGACACCGTGTGCTGTGGCCAGAGCCTGGAATTCGAGGAAGACATCCTGGGAGGAGTCTGCCGGCATGCCTCTGAGGCATGTTGCCGCCGCGATGTTATCGAGACAAACGACTATTCTCTGCGGTCGTGGGAGGCTTAGGCAGCGCGCAGGCCCTCGAGCGCGCCTTTCGCTTCCGCATCAAAACCTCAGCCGGCCCAAGTCGGCCGCAGCCACTTAGCACGGTTTGCCCATCCATATGGATGGCATAGCCATAACCGACGGCTGCTTCCGAGGAGAGCGATCCGTCTGAGTAGACGACCAGAGTGTGCGGTGGTACTGACCGGAGCCAACTGCAGAATTCCGCTGCTGACTGGTCTTTCGTGGCGGTTTGCAGAGGCAGCGCTTGATCGTCGCCGAAGCGGCGAGGGAGGAGAATTGGACGCCTGCTGCAATGCAGCAGCTGGTCGCTGCGTCGAAGTCGGGTCCGGAAGCCTTCTCGTGGCATCTGGTACTTCAGTTTGATCGACCTGTGGATGGCAGGGGGCTTGGGCCGGGCTGTACGTTTCACGAGCGGATGGGCTTCATCGAGAGACTTGAGGCGGGCCGAGAAGCGCATTCGACGCGCCTCGAGCAGTTGAATGGCCGGTGGGATGCCGCTTTCTCGATGGAGGGCATTGATCGGTGTCGTCCTCCAAACCGGCAGGACGGCCCGGATGGATGTGTGAAGCGACTTGTTCATCTTTCGGATCAGTTGCTGTATCCCGGATGGTCCTTCCTTTGCTGGCTGGATCCATCGCGGGCTGGTTAATCCGGGGTACCATGCCTCGGCGCCGTGGAGCAGCACCGGTTCGATACATGCTCTTACGGCTCTGCGAACGGCACCAGGAAGAGGGCCATGTTTGGTGTTTGCCAGTCCTTTCAGATGGTATGCCACGACCTGAGCCTTGGCTGTCCACTTTTCCACGTGCGTCTTGAACGACAGGGTGCTGTCAAGCCAGATGCCTAGCCATCGCATTGCTTGGTCGGGGCGCTTCTCTGAGTCACCGTGAAATATAGGCGGGTTGACCTTAGGTTTGCTTCGACAGAAATGCATGACCTCAGTCTTCATAGGGTCGAAGTCTATGCCGTTGGCGGCGCCCCAGGCCACAAGTTCGTTTACATAGCGCGACGCCCTCTCGGCTGTCGTCTCCAGGGAGTTACCTATGCATAGGATACCCGTGTCGTCTGCGTAGCCGAAGCGCCCCTTCGGCTTGCCTAGGCGGTAAATTGGCTCCGTGTACAACAGAAAAAAGATGGGCGAGACTGGCGATCCCTGCGGGAGGCCGCATTGGAGAGGCGAGCTGGGCGTCGTGACGTCCTGGTATCTGACGCGCGCCGAGCGGTCATGCGTGAAGGAACCAGCCCATCGCGCGAGATGTTCTGGCCACCCCTGCTCACGAAGACGAAGGATCAACCTGTTGCGGAGGACAGTGTCGAAGGCTCCCTGGATGTCCATAGTCACCAGCGTGGCGACTTGGCCGCGGGCAAACGCTTCCTCAATGTCATGCAACAGAGCGGCAACAAGGTCAACGGCAGATCTCTTCGGGAGAGCGCCAGTTTGTTGTGAATGGAGGACTCCGTAGTGAATGGATGCCCATGCCAGGCGGCGTGCGATGAGCCGCTCAAGACCTTTGCCTAGGCAAGACAGGAGGGAGATGGGTCGCCAGGCACGAGGGGTCGAGAGGTTCCGTCGTCTTGGTTTTGTTATCATGACTACTTCGGCCTCTCTGAATGGCTTCGGGTGATGGCCGATGGTAAGACAGCCTTCGTACAGCCGGTGGACGTGGCTTCCGATAACATGCCAAACTACCTTGAGCATTTGTACCGTGATGCTGTCGGGGCCGGGAGACGTGTTTCCGGTCCGTAGGGTTGCGTCGCGCACTTCATCAAATGACACATGTTGCGTGAAGGGAATGGTTTTCATTGTGTCGACTGGGATCCACGGATCTGGGATGTCATCGTCCGCCGTGCGCCGCTCGAGTGTCGCCCGCCGTAGGGCATTGGCTTTGTCTAGCTGCGTCTCGTAAACTATATCGCCTACTTGTAGGGGCGGAGGCTGGAAAGCACCCGGTGATCGCAGCCATCGGACTGCTTTGAATACGGAGGCGCTGTCAGTGAAGCTGTCGATCAGATTGCGCCAGTAAAGCCTTTTGGCTCGGCGCGCGACTTTCTGGAAATCTCTCTTGGCGGACTGGACTTCCTGATTGAAGCCGAGAGGATAGACTCTCCGAATCGCGCGGTATTCCGCCGCAGCGAGGGCACATTCTTCCGTCCACCAGGGCGCGCTGCGTGCCCCCTTACGGACGGGGCGACCGGCGGCTTTGGCTGCTAATTGGAGAAGGTCCGCGAGCGCCAACGCCAGGGAATCAAGCTCTTGGGGAGACGAGGCCGCGGCTGGGATCGCTATTGCTCCGGAATCCACCATTTCCGCGAAACGAGCGAGCTCGTCGTCAGAGGTGAGGCGGACCTTTCCCAGCGGCACCGAGGCCGGAGCCAAGTCAGCGAGTGTCACGCTGAGCGTGAAGTGGTCAGAGCTGGTGGCCAGGTGTTCCTCCACGACAGCTTCGGATAGTGGTATGTTGGAGAAGGCGAGGTCTATTGTATTGCCATGCGGGTTGGTTAGGACATCGGCAGGGTTGAGCAAGCTGAGGCCGTTCTCAGAGGCCCAATAGGCGATGTCGTCGCCTCGGCCATCGAGCCGGCCGGCTTGCCAGCTACTATGTTTGGCGTTGAAGTCGCCTGCTACTAGGCACCTTCCTGGTGTGGTCCACTGGAGGAGGATATCCAGTGCTTCATCGTAGTACGGTTGTCGATAGAAGTTTACCACTGTTATGTTGTTGATGGTGAGCCAGAGAATGTCGCGGGTCGCCACAGGCCTCCTCTGATCTGTCATCAAGCAGGGTCTGCGCCGGACATAGGTCATTACTCTAGGCCGCGTGCTGTTGTCGTCCCAGCTGTCGACTGGGGAGAAAGTATCGTAGGCTGGGTGGGTTTGGTAAGACATCGGCCGTCCTTGGCTTCTGTCCACGGCTCCTGGAGGAGCACTATATCGTATCGTTCGGAGTCGGCGAGGGCAAGGGCGCAGTCATGTGCTGGCGAGATCTTGCCTACGTTAGCTTGGAAGACTCGCAGGGTCTTCTTGTCGCTTTGATTCACGCGGGGATATCTCGTCATGGAGATAGTGCAATGGGGCTGATGCGTCGCTTCTTTGAAGGGGAAGCTGGTCTGGGTTCGTTGCCCTCGCTCTGAGGCTGAGCTGTCGTGGTTACCATAATGAATGGCGGAGACATGGTCCTGGTCGAGCTTAAGACCGAGGTTTCGCTTCTGCCCCGTGACCTGTCGTCTGGGTGCTCGGCTTCCTGGTCGTCGGACTGAGCAGTTCTGGGAGCTATTGAATTGAGAGTCTCGGAGGAGTCTCGTTCTAGCTGTTCGGGTTGGTCTACACATTCGAACTGTTGCTTCCGCTGAGCAAATAGTTGGGCGCCCATCTGTCGGACAAGGTTTTCTCCTCCTTCGTCAGGCGACGAATGACGCCATGTGATCGCTTGGGGCGTGCAGGGCATTTCGAGAAATCTGCGGAATGGGGTCCGAGGCAGTTTGCGCACTGCTCGAGGGCTACGCAGGTTTCACCGTCATGGCCCTTCCTTCCGCAGCGCTTGCAGGATGGTTGTCGGTCACAGCTGTGTCGAGCATGGAAATCCCAGCACTTGTTACACTGGCTGGGCATGCTGGATCTGTCGATGGAGGCTTTTTGTATCGGGCAAGTCGGCTGGAGCCAAAAAGCCTCCAAGGTCTCTGGGTGGGCTCGAGGAAGGACACAATAAGTGTCTTACTCGGAAGGTCGTTTGAATCGTGCAGACTGGGGCGAATACTGATGGGTGTGAGCCCGGTCTGGCAGGCGATTTCGTCTTTGACGGCCGCCTCGTAGTTGACTTCATTGCCCTGCAAGTCCGTAAGTCGTCGAGGGCAGTTGGGCACGACGTACTTGTACCATTTGTGAGTAATCTCCACCGAGGTCGCGTCTAGGTCCTCGGACCATTCCGACTGTCGCTGGACGATGAGGTCCCTGATGGTAGCGTCCAGTGTTCGGATGGCCCATCCCGAGTTTACCTTGAAAGCTGCCGGGACCCGGTGCAAGTCGATGCCGACTTTGGCGGCGATGTGGGTCCGAATTGCGTAGCTGCTGTGGTCTCGCGCTGGTGCTTCGGCATCGAGCCGCACAAAGACACGGAGGTCTTCCTTTGGTGGGGCGGGGGATGGTCGTCCCTGGAGACGGGAGATTGGTTGCCGGGGTCGTTGTTGTTGCGGGGCCTCGGCGGCCGTGGGGGTGTGGCCCCCGAGAGGCTGGCTTGCAGGGTGACCGGCGGCGACGCTGCTATAGGTCGGCGCGGGCGCGGGATTGAGGTCGGAGAGCGCCTGCCTCCAAAAGTCGAGGAAGCTGCTGGAAAATTGTTCCGCAAAGCTGTGTTCAAGGCCGGACGTGAAATGTTTCGCAGTCTGTTCGAACGATTCACAAAAGGCTCGGAACACTGTCATTTTGGCGTTGTAGGCATTTGTTTGCTCAACGGCGAGTTTGTTGGCTGCTTCAACGATAGAGACCGGGTGGAGGTTGACAGACTCGGCGGAGCCGGGCCGGTTCGGGGCGGATTCACGCTGCGCTCCTTCCGTAGCGGCGGCATTGGAGAGTCGGATAAGGGGCGAGGACGGCGTCACCGCCGGTCGCCGGAACGCGGATGTGAGCCCAATGGGGCGGCTCGAAATGGGGGAGCTGTGTCGAAGCTGAGATGCACGGGCTAATCGAGCAAGATTAGGCGGGGTATGGACACCCAGATCAAAGGGGGTCTGAGCTGGCATGCGAGCTCGTGGCAGATGCCATGGCCGCTGCCTCAGCCAGCGCAAAGCGCGGCTGGAATGATCAACGTGCAGTTATTAGGCGAATTGGTGGGAAATTACGCTACTTTCTTAACAATTACATGCCAAGAAAGTAAGAAAACAGGGGAAGGTGGGATCTGTAAATAGTTTAGTTTAGTTTAGTGTATTTTCCGTCCAGCAACTTTTGGTCGCTCAGGTCTCCGCAGGGGAGCACAGGACGTGCTGAGCTAGCAGGTGTCTACATGCTACATATCGTACACTTCACCCACTATCCAGCATTTCATCGGCTCAACGGCGCTCATGACAAACCTGTTGCCCGTCAGCGGGACGTCCAGGCACGAAGAGAAAGCTGTCCCGTGGTCAGATCAGCCAATTTGCTTCTGGGGCCTTGCAGCCCTTGATGACCTCGGCGATCGCATGGTCGTGAGACCTTGACGCCGCCCGAGATCGGAGCAGGTAACAGAAAGAATTGAGAGGAAAAGGTAGGGTGAGAGAGAGAATGATGACCGTCTAGTGGCGTGGGCAGATCCTCCGAAGAAGGAGCTCGCTGTCGCCAGCCTGACGAATTTGTCAAAGTCCTTGCCGATTGCGCGGTTGATGGCTGCAGCCGGCCAAGGTGCAAGCCGCATACGATGCCGTGGCGCAACCTTTCTGCAGTAAAAGATGTGTGCTGGCTCTTTCGTCGTCCGCACGAGCACGTCAGTCGCGCATCGTCGTGACCAAACCTTTCGTGGTAGTCAGCAAAATCCCCATGGTGGGTTCTTGCTGCAAGCAAGTTATGAAGCAGGGGCCGAGAGAGCGCCAATTCTGACGGACAGCTGGTTGTGGCTTTAAGCCTCAGGTCTCTGTATCGCTCCGGCGCAGAGGTTTCCCACCAGGCACTGAAAGCCTCTTTCCGCTGCAGTCGGGCAATTTTTCGCAGATGCGCTAGCGTCGGTTCGCCATCAGCGGGTTCTGGCAGTGATGCTCCCGCCTTTGCCAGAGCATCAGCCTCCTCGTTGCCTGGGATGTCAGCATGGCCGGGGATCCAATGGACCTCCACAGCTCCGTATTTTCGCGCCAAAGATTGGAACTCAAGGAAGACCTCTTGCGAGGAGTCGTTCGGCGTGCCCCGTAAGCATGTTGCGGTCGCGAGGTTGTCGAGGCAGACAAAGATGCGGTCAGTTTCTGGAAGGCTCACCGCTGCCTTCAACCCCTCCAATGCACCTTTCGCCTCAGCGTCGAAAACCTCAGCTGTTCCAAGACGGCCCTTGCCGCTCAAGACGGTGGATCCGTCCCGGTGAACAGCATAGCCGTATCCGATGTGGCCTTCCTCAGAACGAGACCCGTCGGAGTAGACGACAAGAGTTCGGGGCGATAGTGCCTGAAGCCAGTCGCGAAATTTTTTCGCCGTCTCGTGTTTCGATGCACTCTGCAGAGGCGCAGTCTGCTCTTCGGCAAATCCGCGCTGCAGTAAAGCAGGTCTCGGGCAGCTCGATAGCATTTCGTCGGCTCGCCGCAGTCTGGTACGGAAGGGCTGTGGCTGTTTCTGGTACTTCAACTTGATAAGTTTGTTCACGGTCACGACGGGAGCTTTTGGTCGCGACGTGCGCTGGACGAGCGGGTGAGCTTCGTCGAGAGCTTTAAGGCGCGCAGCAAAGGCCGTCCGACGCCCTTCGAGGAGTAGAGGAACGGGCGGTATTCCCGCCTCCTGTGCAGCACGTTCGTCGGTGTCGTCCTCCACACTGGCAGAATAGCCCGAAGAGACGTGTAGAGTGCCTTGCTCATCTTCTTGACGAGGTTGCCAATCCCCGACGGCCCCTCCTTGGAAGGCTTCGTCCAGCGCGGGCTTTTCGGCCCAGGGTACCAGGCCTCCGCCGCGTACAGTAGCACGGGGATGACGCAAGCGCAGACGGCTCGTCGCATAGCACTCGGCAGAGGGCCATGTTTCGTGTTCGTCAGTCTCCTAAGATGAAAGGCAACAGCTTGCGCCTTGGCCGTCCATTTCTCGACGTGTGTCTTGAAAGAGAGAGAGCTGTCGAGCCAAACGCCGAGCCAACGCATCGCTCGATCCGGCCGTTTCTCAAACTCGCCGTGGAGCACCGGCGGCGCCGTCTTGGGCTTCGTTCGAGAGAAGTGCATCACTTCTGTCTTGTCGGGGTCGAAAGAGATCCCGTTAGCGGCGCCCCACGAAAGAAGCTCACGTACATGGTGAGATGCTTCGGCGGTCGTTTCATCAAGGCTATTACCGACGCATAGAATGGCAGTGTCGTCCGCGTAACCGAAGCGTCCCTGAGAGTGACCTAGGCGATATATCGGCTCCGTGTACAACAGGAAGAGGATCGGCGAGACGGGCGACCCCTGCGGCAGACCGCACTGGAGGGGCGATGAATCCGTCACGATGTCTTGATAGCGGATGCGTGCCGATCTGTCCTGCATGAACGAGCCGGCCCAGCGCGCGAGGTTCGATGGCCATCCTTGTTCTCGTAAGCGGAGGACCAATCTATTGCAGAGAACTGTATCGAAGGCGCCTTGTATATCCAAGGTCACCAGGGTTGCGACTTGCTTCCGGGCGAATGCCTCCTCGATGTCGTGAACCAAGGCAGCTACGAGATCCACGGCCGACCTCTTCGGGAGCGCGCCGGCTTGTTGTGGGTGTAGTACGCCGAAGTGGATTGAGCCCCACGCTAGACGCCGTGCAATGAGCCGCTCGAGGCCCTTGCCGAGACAAGACAAAAGGGAGATGGGGCGCCAGGCGCGGGGTGTAGACAGATCTCTGCGTCCTAGCTTGGCGATCATAACCACTTCTGCCTCCCGAAAAGGTTTCGGATGGTGACCAATGGTGAGGCAGCCTTGATACAGCTGATGGACGAGACTGCCGATTGCATGCCAGACAGCGCGAAGCATCCGCACCGTGATGTTATCCGAGCCTGGAGATGTGTTCCCGGTGCGTAGAGTGGCGTCGCGAGCCTCCTCGAAGGAGACCTGATTGGGAAAGGGAATCATCTTATCCGTGTTCACGGGAATCCACGGGTCTGGGATGTCGTCGCTCGCTGTGCGCCGCTCCAGGGTTGCTCGCCGCAAGGCGGTGGCTTTCTCCAGCTGCGTCTCGTACACTCGGCCGTCTACTTGCAGGGGAGGTGCCTGGCACGGCCCTGAGGATTTTAATTAGCCAGCGGACCGCCCGAAAGACGGAGTCGCCGTCGGCAAAGCTGTCGATCAAGTCACGCCAGTAAAGGCGTTTTGCTCGGCGCACTGCATTGTGAAGCTCCCGCTTGGCTAGCTGCACTTCTCGGTCGAAGCCGAGAGGGTACACCCTCCTCCACGCGCGATAATTGGCCGCCGCCTTTGCGCACTCTTCGTTCCACCACCGCGCCCCATGCGTCGTCTTACGGACGGTCGGCCCGCAGCTCTCGCTGCACAACCAAGAAGGTCCACCAGCGCCGACGCAAAGTTGTCCAGCTCGGAGGGAGTTGAGGTTGTAGTCGGGATGAAAGCTGCACCGGCTTCTACCAGCTCGACAAATCGCTTCAATTCCTCATCGGAGTTGAGGCGGATCTTGCATAATGGAAGGGTGCTAGGGCTTGACTAGGCAGCGTGATACTAAGGGTAAAGTGGTCGGACCCGGTTGCTAAATGATCCTCAACAACCGCGTCCGCCAAAGGTATATTGGAGAAGGCGAGATCGATCGTGCTGCCGCGCGCGTTAGTCGGGACATCGACAGCATTCAATAAGCTGAGTCGGTTATCCATGGCCCAGAACGCGATGTCTTCACCGCGGTGCTCTTGTCGACCGGCCTGCCAGCTGGGATGCTTGGCGTTGAAGTCGCCAGATACAAGGCATTTATCCGTCGCGCACCAGCCAAGCAGTATTTCCAAAGCCGCGTCGTAGTCCGGCTGCCGATAGAAGTTAACTACCGTCGTCCCGTTCACGGTGAGCCAAAGGATGTCACGAGTCGCCACAGGTCTCTTTTGATCAGCGACGAGGCCTGCGGAGCGCCGGACGTATGTCATGACTCTCGGACGAGTGTCGCGGCCGTCCCAGTCGGTGACGGGTGAGAATGTGTCGTAGGCCGGATGCGTCTTGGTGAGGCATCGGCCGTCTTTAAGTCCTGTCCATGGTTCCTGCAGCAGGATAATGTCGTATCGCTCCGAATCAGCCAGCGCGAGCGCAGTGTCATGCGCCGGAGGGATCTTGCCCACGTTGGCTTGGAAGACTCGCAAGGCCCTCCTGTTGCTTCGATTGTTGGGATGACGGTGATGCATTAGGGCAGCGTCACAGGGCTAGTGCGTCGTTTCTTCGACGGGACGACAGGGGTGAACTGGTTGTCATCGCTAGCGTGCGGCGGCGTCGTGGCCACGACAATGCAAGGGTGAGGAAGCGGCTCGCTCTGGGTGGCGCTTCTGCCGGAGCTTCCATCCTCTCCAGCTGCCTGCGACTCCGAAGAACGTAACTGACTCGAATCAGGGCTCTGACAAGACTGCTCGGGCACGTTGTGGTTTGGTGTCTGTCTTTTCTGCTGCGCGAAGAGCTGAGCTCCCGCCTGCCTCACCAGACCCTTCTCCTCTTTCGTCAGGCGCCGTACAATGCCATGAACGCGCTTGGGGCGGGCAGGGCATTTAGGATCGTCAGCGCAATGTGGCCCGAGGCAGTTTGCGCACTGCTCTAGGGCTGCGCACTCTTGGCTACGATGGTTGGTCTTGCCGCAACGTCTGCAGCGCGCCATCCGGTCGCAGCTGTGGCGAGCGTGGAAATCCCAGCATTTGTCGCATTGGCTAGGGATGCTGGGTTTGTCAATGTAACGGGCGAGACGGCTGGCGCCGAAAAGTCTCCAGGGTCTTCGTGTGGGTTCCAGGAAGGACACAATCAGGGTCTGGGTGGGCATATCACCCGAGTCGTGTCGCGATAGACGTATGCTGATGGGCTTCAGTCCGGTTTGGCAGGCAATCTCTTCTTTGACCGCCTCCTCGTAGTTGATCACGACACCTCGTAGGTCTGTGAGCCTACGAGGACAATCGGCTACCACGTACGAATGCCATTTCTGGCTTATCTCTACGGCCGCGGCTTCCAGGTCTGCAGCCCACTCCGCCTGCCGTTGCACAAGTAAGTCACGCGTGGCCACATCCGATGCCTGGATGGCCCAGCCCGTGTTTACCGGGAAGGCTGCCGGAATGCGGCGCAGGTCAATACCGACTCTAGCGGCGATGTGGGTCCGGATTGCGTATCTTTCGTGGTTTCGGGCCGGAGCGTCAGCGTCAAGTCGGACGAAGACACGGAGGTCTTCCTTCGGTGGGGCTACGGGCGGTCGTCCTGGCAGACGAGTGGTGGTCTGTGGTTTTCGCTGTGGTGGGGCGGAGGCTGTAAAGGCCAGCTGTCCTTGCTTCGGCTTGCCGGATGCAAGAACGCTGCTGTACGTGGGCTTCGGTGGTTCTTCGAGTTCGGCAAGCGATTGAGTCCAGAATTTGAGAAATTTGGTGGCGACTTGCTTGGCGATGCTGTTTTCGGTGCCAGACGTGAACTGCTTTGCTGCTTGTTCGAATGATTCGCTAAAGACCCGTAAGACTGCCAGCTTGGCGTTATGGGCTGCCGTTTTGTCGCGAGCAATTTTCGTGGCCGCTTCGAGGATTGAGACTGGCGCGTGCTCAGTGGGCTGGGCCGAGTCGAAGAGATTCGGGGCTTCTTCCAGCTGCGCTCCTTCCGTGACGGCAGCTTCAGGCGTTTCGGTGGACGAGATTGACTGGGCCAGCTGCTGGGCCGCGGGAAACGAGTCGTTTCGGCGAGCTTCCGTCGGGTAGCGAGGTCGGAGATGCGATATGTGAGCCGCCGGATTTGGCGGCGATCGTATGCCTTGTCTCGAGGCATTGGAGTCGACATGCGAACCTGAGGCTGGTGCCATGGTCGCTGCCGGCGCTTGCGCGCGGCTCAATTGGAGTTTTGTCAAGAGCACTTGTTAAGCGAAAGTATGTGAGAATAGGCTACTTTCTTAACACTTGCGTGCCAAGAAAGTAAAAATACAAGGAAGGATCTGTAGTTGCGTGGGCATTTGCAAGTTTTCCAGCACTGCATCTAGGGTAGGAAGCTGGGCGACTTCGCTGTTCTTTCTCCCGGTCGCTGTCCGATTCCATGACAATGGCAAACGAGAACTGTTTGGTGAAAAAACGTGTCTCTCACTCAGATCCACCCGAAAACAATCAGTCACTTGGTCAAGTCTGGGCTCCGAGAATTGCATTGTGAGTTTTATGTGCCAGCCGGTGGGTGATAGGTTGACTACTGGCCTCTTTACAGTATTACCGGTACTGCTTTGACTGGCAGTTGGACTCCCAGAATATCAACGCGCGGTCCCGCCGCTAGTCCGCAGTACATTTTAAATGCCGACTCAAATGACTAGGGGGAAAATCGCCTAGACCAAAAAGAGATGGACAGGGGGTTTTGCAACAGTCCCCCCCTATCGCCCCCCGTATGCGAGCGCCACGGACACGGCTCCTAAAGGGAGCGATGGTAGACACGTCTCCCTTTTACACTCTTTGTAGCTCAATTTACATCAATTACGCCCAGCACCTGTGCCAACAGTGCTGACCCGTAACAACATCGACCATGCCAAGCGCAATTGGGAATACACAGAAGAGGGCGACAGTGGCTCTGATAAAGCACTCGTATGCGACAGAGACATTGAGCTCCTTACGCGTTGGCATACTCCTTGTTGAACGCACGGCCAATGACTATGCGCCTAATTTCCGACGTGCCGGCTCCGATCTCGTATAGCTTGGCGCTGTGAGCGTATATGGTGCGTTAGTGAAAATCGTATCACACTGAGCATGCACTGTTTCCCTTCCTCTCTTCTAACCCGTTCGGGAGCAGAGGAATTCATTGAGCAAAACACCGGAATCGGTTGGGCGGGACTCACTCTCGCAACAGTCGTGATGCTGGCATCTCCTCCACGTAGCCCATGCCGCCCAGCAGCTGGATGCAATCGAGGGAGCACTCGGTCGCCCGCTCGGCCGCGTACAGAATCGAGCCTGCGCAGTCTTGTGTGCGAATGACTCCCTGCTCGTCCAGGCGCTTGGCCGTGGTGTACGTGTACGCCCTCGAAGCCTGCAACTTGGTGTACATGTCAGCCAGCTTGCCTTGGATGAGCTGGTTGTGCGCGATGGGCTGTCCAAATTGCTTGCGCTGGTGAGAGAATGGCGCCGCGACATCAAAGGCCGCCTGCATGATACCCAGGGGACCAGCGGAGAAGACGAGGCGCTCCAAGTCAAGCCCCTCCATCAGCATGTGCACGCCGCCGTTGACCGTACTCAGGACGTTCTCGGCCGGGATGAAGACGTTGTCGAACACGAGCTCGCCTGTGTTGCTGCCGCGCATGCCCATCTTGTCGAGCTTGCGGGTGCAGCTAACGCCCTCGGTCTTGGTCCCGACCAGGAAGGCCGTGATTCCCTTGGAGCCAGCGTCGGGTTGCGTCTTGGCGTATACGACGATGAGGTCGGCGTCGGGACCGTTTGTGATCCACATCTTGGACCCCTTGATGAGGTAGCCGCCGTCGACCGCCTTGGCCGTCGTCCGCATACTGACGACGTCGCTGCCGGAGCCGGACTCGGACATGGCCAGTGCGCCGATGCTCGTGCCCGCGACAAGGCCTGGGAGGTGCTTTTGCTTTTGCTCAGGCGTGCCGTTGAGCTGGAGCTGGTTCACGCAGACGTGCGAGTGTACCGCGTAGCTCAGACCAATGGAGCCCGAGGCCCGTGATATCTCCTCCATAACAACGCAGTGTGCCTGGTAGCCCATGCCCAGGCCACCAACATCCCCGTCCACCGTGACACCCAGGAAGCCCGCTTCCCCTAGCTTGGGCCACATCTCATTAGGGAAGGCATCGGACTTGTCGGTGTGCGCGGCGACTGCCTCAGTGATCTCGCGGCGCGTGAAATCCTGCACGCGCTCGCGCAGCTCTTCAAGCTCCTCGGTGGTCGGCGGCTCGAAGCCCTTTGGGTGCTTGGACGAGTGCAGTCTCGTTTGGATGGAGGAGAGGCCGAGGGTAGCGGATGAAGCCCGGAGTTGGCGCGCGGCCAGCCGAGTAAGCACTCCAGTGAATGGCCGTAGGCTAGCCATCGTGTATGTCTGCGATCTCTGCGTGCGACTTCCGCTCTCGAGCCGTGGTTGCACAACTAACCTGTGAGTTAGAGAGAGTGAGGCGAAAAGGAAAGAAGAACCACCCGATCGTCCCTTCCATGAAGTTACGTGGAACTACTACTGCAGACTGGTAGAATTGGCAAACCATACCGCGCGCCACGATTGTCGACCACATTTTATTGTCCTAGTAGTCTGTGCACCAGAGACCCAGGCCTGTGGACAAGGGGGACGTAAACCACAATACCATGGCAGTTCGGAGTCGGATGTCATACTGCCACTTACACCTTCGCGCGCACCACATAACGGCCACTTGCAGCTGCATCTGTCGGAGTGTTCACTTCACTTTGCCTGCATGACGCGTCTACTCCTCCCATTTTTTGGATTTTGGATTTTGCTTCGACTCATTTACCTTACTCGTGCTCGGCCCCACTTTATTGGGATTCACTTTGGCTCACCCACAGCCAAAAACAAAAACTCTCCTGTAAAAAAAAAAAAAAAAAAAGGCCAGTTCTGCGGGCTGTTAGTAGCCTGTTAGTGGCGAAGAATTTTTCAGGCCACCCCGACTATGCTTCTGCCTCTATTGCCTTAACGGGGCTCTAGCAGGCCCCAAAGGCAGACTTTGGAGAGTTCGTCTCCTCTTGGGAAGCTGGTCTCGAATAACGGCATGCCTCGCGTTGCCTCGCGTTCTGCCGCCTTTACTGGCTGGCCTCGACTTCTGCCGCCTCGCGGCCCCGACCTCCGCCACCTTGCGGCCCTTTATGCGGCCCAGCGGCCACGACTTCCTCTGGACTGTGGGCCGCGGGGGCCCCCAGGGGCTACAAGAGCCTAGAGCTCAAGGCCTCACCCGGGTGCCCCCCGGAGCTGCACACCAATCGACAACACCTCCACCACCTGCTTGCTACGAGGAGTAGGCACGGGGACTTCGCCGACTGTCATGACCACGAAGTCGCCCGGATCGAATGCTCCTGCGGGAGAATACAATCGCCATCGGGGCGATCCCCCGACCAACATTCCTACACTATCTGCTTCCCTTTTTTTTCTTTTTGTTTCTGCCCCGTAGGCCCTCGAGGGGGCTTGCGGCCGGCACATGACTTCGTGGGCTTTCTCAGTCACCCAGCCTCGGCCAAAGACTGACTACTATTACGGCTTCACTGCCGTGCCTGGAACCCGCTGACGGGGGAAGGGCCCTGAATTTCCGACCGGCCTCAGCCTAGCACGTCTTTTTCCTTTGGGATATCACAGACGTTAAACGACACTACAACTACTCGTGCCCGCCCCACTTTAAGGATTCGCTTTAGCTCACCCGGGTGAAGTGGGTGCTGTTAGATCCGGTAGAATCCGGGTAGATGCAGCTACGATAGCGTCAGGTTACTAGTGGCAGCGCCAACGGTAGCGCAGACGATAGCGCACCAGGTAGCGCAGCCGATGAGGCCACGAGGACATCTATGAGACAGTTACAGAGATATGACGTGATGGCATGTCATAGGGATTGAGGCCATCGCCCTTTGATATAGGGCTTGGGCAGAGCACCCCAAATGGGGACACAGACACACACACATCATACCTCACTTCATCCGATCGTACCATTCTTGCTGTGTCCGTGACCTATCCGACGAGAACCTCATCAAGGTTCTGACAGGTGCTGATCACCCAAATGAACAGATCATCCGAATGAACAGAATATCGACCTTTTTTAAGCGAATCCCAATAAAGTGGGGCGGGCACGAGTAGTAGATGCAACCCAAATGAGCGAAGCGCCAGCTCTTAGTTGGACCCTAGCTGCCAACGCATCACCCCACTTCGGGCTGGCTTATTAATTCCAATCAGAGTTCCGCACGTTCGCTTTCCTATGTCTTTTCTTTTCCCATGATTATTACTTTAACTAGCTATTAGCTAGCCCTGCGGTGGTAGTGCGGCCTTCGAAGGCCTAGGCCCTTAGGGTCATAGCCTAGAGCCACATATGCGGAATAAATAAATAAATATACGTACTAGTTAAAAGGCCACCCCGTCACGCTAAACGGCCACCCAAAAGTGGGTCAATTGTGGCTTGGTCGCGCGCAAGGTCCGATACCGCAAAGTTTGGGCTCCAGAAGATAGGGGGCGAATACCGCGCTGTGGCAAGGAATGCCGCTTCAAGCGACCAAGAAAAGCCGCCGCCCGGCCGCTGTGATCTTCTTCATCACTGCGGCTTCAAGTCAAGTCTTGGTTGGCCTTCCTTGCCGTCACGATATTTTCAAGCGGCCCAATGCCGCCGCCGCCGTTCCTTCGAAATGAATGACGTTGACGAGCTCTGGCATGGCAGAGCACAAGCCCTAACGATGCTCCTCACGATCCACTCCTATGCACGGGAAAGGCCGGCCCAAGGGCTCATTGAACCTCGAGGCAGCAGGAGGTCGTAACGGCCACGCGGAGAGCCGTCAGCACACGATATCGCGGAATCCGACGAACGCAGCGAGGCCACAAGGCCGCCGCCGTCCACAGCGCCGGCGGCTCTCCAAAGTACGAAGACGAAGGCTACGGGTAAGAAGCGCAAGGCTGGGGCAAGGCTGGAGGAAAGCTGCTGCTGCTACCGTCAACACCGCCGGCAGCGCTGCTGATGTGACCAAACGGGGTTGGAATACCTTCAAGCCAATGGCGATTCGTACGAGCCTGGCACAGCGATGCCACGAGCGTATCAGCGTGCCGTACGCCGCACGCCTGACTCTGACGATGAGCTTACTGGCCCGGGCGAGACGCAGGGCACGATTCGCTGTGCCACGCAGCCAATGCCGATACCCTCAATTCGTCAAGGAGGTGAGGATATAGAGGATGAAGACGACCCTTTAGCCGATTTTAACGAGATGGACCGGCAGGTGGATGAGGAGGAGTCTGTACAGCAGGAATTGTGTGCAGAGGGTCTACTATAGCTACCGGCGTTACCGCTGCATTTGAATTGACGGAAGTGTGTTTTCTACGACCCCAAGAACATGGCCCTACGTACTTGAATTTGCATCACGGCCAGCTTCACTTTGCGGCTTCAATTGCGGCTTCAACATGCCCTCTGGCGCGCACCTCGATGCCGGCAGCGAATGCGCGCACACACCTTTGCGGCATCGGCGCTGCGCGGCGACCAAGCCACAGTTGACCCACTTTTGGGTGGCCGTTTAGCGTGACGGGGTGGCCTTTTAACTAGTACGTATGTTTATATCCCGTGTTCAGGTAGAATATACATTCTATCAGGAAGAGGGCACTCCTTGCCTCTTACTGAAGGCCGCGTAAGTCATCTACGTCAGCACATTTAGCTCGATCTCCCCGATCAATAGCTTTCCAAGCTATTAGGTCGATAGTTCAGTCTCTTCAGGTCCCCGAGCCAGTAAGAGATATACCGGACTCCTCAGAAGGTCCCCGTTCGGATAGGAGATCCTCCGGACCCCTCAGTGGTCTAGGAAGAAGAAATAACAGTCTGCAGACCTCCCTTCTTACCTGGTTTCAAGCTGTATTACCTAGAGAGACCTAGAGACCTCAACTCGTTCGGACCTTCTTCTCGACAGACCTTGATACAACACAAGGAACCTGTCACGAAAAAACATGGCCACCTGTTGGTGCAGGTGACAGTGTCAATCGACACTATAAGCTTCGCGACAGAACCTCGGAAAGGGAATTTAAATTCAACGCTGAATAGCCTCAACAAATCGTTATATCACTTGATCATTTAATTCACTGTTTGCATCAGGCTTCCTTACGGGCCTGATACAAAGGGGGTGTGTTGGTAAGGGCTACTAATAATATGACCCGTGGGGTTAGCAGACTTGGAATTGCACCCTTTGCAGGAAGACGCATGAACAAGCATGAATGAGGCTTATGCTAAGAATCTAGGGCCGCAAGAGGTATGTATGTGTACCTATAAAGACTGCCTCAATGTCTCACAGTCTCACTAGAACATGCATCATTGTTTTTCACCTATGTGGTACCTTCCACTGTGCCCTCGAAGATCTGTAGCTAGACGATCTCTGCATGATTTGTTTCTGGCGGTCAATCTTACGGCCGCAGAGAGGATGTGAGTCGTCTCGAGGGCCACGAAGCCGCCACGATAGTCGCGGATGCTTGATGACAACGAAAGACATGACCGCATAGCTGTATAACGTGGCACCAGTAGATTTTGAGATCTAGAACCTTGTGGAAACTAACGTCCTCATACCATGCCTTCTTTATCTTCCGGCTCTGCAAATTGCTTTTTATACCAAGCTACGTTGATGCAGCATGCCTGGGGTTACGGATGCCGACTTGTAAGTACTCTCGCCATGTCGCTGGATCGTATGCTTTGTGTTGCCTTGAGTGGTCGATTTTGAGTACCCATTAAGGCTTGTCTGCCCCCTTGACTCCTTAAAAGCGTAGGGACCATCAACCCTTCCGGAATAAGTTAAAAGTTAATTCAGCCCGAAGGGCGTTTGCCTTGAGGAACGAAAGGACTTCATTAACGTACCTCACTGCGTCATGCAACGCACCATGTCATGCAACAGATTGCCGAGTCCACAGCCCGTCATCTGGGTGTTTGTCTTCCTTCGCTTCCCTTTGGGAATAGCCTTATTGCCCTGGTCGTTCCAAACGCGGCCCTTGGAGCACCTCAACATAACTGTCAGAGGGAGCAGACTGACGGTCAAATCCACGCACGCATAAAAGCCCTAGTGAAGAGGCAGGTCACAACACATAGACTTGAGTCGGGTATCGATGCAGTAGAGGAACATTGCCCCAACCGGGATACGCGGGAATTGGCACTGATTCAGGGCCTCCACGGGTCCAAGAGAGGTATCTATTCGTATAAATGCCCCCTCAAATGTCGCACAGATATGTAAGAAGACATGCATCATCGTTTGGACTCAATTGTGCTTGCCGTTATCTGTGACGGTCACGGACTGAGCCAGAAGGCTGTGGACTCTATTACGAAGATTCTGCTCTGAAGAAGAGAAAGGAGAACCGAACAATACAACTGGGTGTCCTCTCCCTAAATATGCCTTCCGTACGTGTGGGCCGTTGGCCCAACAACATGTGGGTCATGTATGCAAGGGGGGTGTGACGGTGCTAGGCCGTCACATTATCCTTCCACCCGCGCTCTCAGCTTGCTGAGAATAACATACGTTGGAGCGGCGGCATTAGGGCGTTTGTTGCGGACAGCCAAGGCAAAGACCTCCTGCCGGGCGGCGGCGTTGAGGGCATCGCCTGCCGACCGAAAGGTAGGGAATTGACGAGAGAATACAGACTCCATGCCGATTAACGATACGAAGTACGGAGTAGTACCTACATCCAGGGGCAATTGTGGGCCGGCTCCGATGGACACATTGTCCTGAACTTTAATCGGTCATACAAAGTTGGGTAGGGCTATGGTCGGGTCTGGTGGAAGCTTGCCATTTTGTCCCCATTGAGACATAGACTCATAGAATAGTCAGGGTAGCCTCTTAGGTCCACAGCCATCTATGTCTCCGGTGGCTTCGTAACCCTGCATCTGCTCCTCTACAAGCTGACGAATGTGGTCATTGACCCAGTAGCGTTCCAGAACCGAGTGATCGATTTTTGAAGACCCTGTAATGAATCCGAGGCATTTGTCTCCTTCACCACACTCACACGTGAAGCCCTGCGCCATCTCCCACTCGGATGCCGGGTAGAACCACGTAAGCGAATCGCCAATGCTCAATGGTCTCGTGTCTGAAACCCGGACCTCGAAGCGAGTCATGTCGAAAATGAGGCTGGGGTTACAGGAATGGTTGCAGTAGACCAGGTCGGAGTTTAGTTCAAGGTGCGAATCCTTGCCACTTGCAACAGAGGTGTATGTTGGACGATTGACAGGAGTGGCACTATTGATTTTCGCGAAGAAGGCTCCCGCTGGCAAAGAAATTAGGGAGAAAGCGGCCGTCTTGTAGGGCTGGCTCCCTTTAACGACCAATAGCCTGCCTGGGTGGCTCGGCTGCTCCCAGAGGGGAACTAATTCTGGCATGTGGAGCTGCGTAGAGCAACAGGAGAACCTGGAGAGTTTCAAAGGACTGTCGAAGCAGAGTTGAATGTAGATGAGAAGGGACTGCCACAGGCAATGCCAGGTTCGCTCGGAGAGCAAGAGAAGCGGTATGGGTCGAGATATTATATAGAGTAGTGCTAGATCTCATGAAGAGAGCATACAAGTGGGCCTTGATTGTGCCAAGCTGGTTCTGTTTGTGTGTTGTACTTGTGCCCGCCCCCACTTTAAGGGGACCCATTTAAAAAAAAAGTCGGTGAGCCAAAGCGAATCCCCTTAAAGTGGCGGCGGGCACGAGTACAACACACAAACACCCCCGGGATGGCTCCGGACGGACAGGTTCGGACAGACATATTGCAGGGATTATCGCGCTAAGCATGAGTTAAAAGCCAAGGCGCCTCGACTACAGCCTGAACAGGCATAAGTGCCATTTTTCAGTGAAGGGAAATCCACTAGTATACAATCCTGGGTAGGCCGCTGCTGCAGTCCCAACTGCGTTTCATCCTCCTTGGAAGCCTTCCGCTTTCTTGCACCGCGGCTTAGGCATACTCGTGCCCGCCCCACTTTTCTGGATTCCGGTTCACCTTCACTAGAAAAGTGGGCAACTCTCCCCTGTAAAAATTCTTCTCTTCTGCGGGCTGTTAGCAGCCTGTTAGTGATGAAGAAATTTTCAGGCCACCCGACCATGCTTCTGCCTCTCTAGCCCTAACGGGGCTCTAGCAGGCACCAAAGGCAGACTTTGGAGAGTTCGTCTCCTCTTGGGAAGCTGGTCTCGAATAACGGCACGCCTCGCGCTGCCTCGCCTTCTGCCGCCTCGCGGCATCGCCTTCTTCTGCCGCCTTTACTGGCTGGCCTCGACTTCTGCCGCCTCGCGGCCCTGACTTCTGCTGCCACCTCGCGGCCCCGACCTCTTCTGCCGCCCCGCGGCCCGACTTCTTCTCGCCCTCTCTGGCACGCCTCGCGCTGCCTTGCACCCTCTGCCGCCTTTACTGGCTGGCCTCGCCTTCTGCCGCCTTGCGGCCCTGACTCCTTCTGCCGTCTCGCGGCCCCGACCTCTGCCGCCTAGCGGCCACGACTTCCTCTGGACTGGTGGGCCGCGGGGCCCTGAGGAGCTACAAGAGCCTAGAGCTCAAGGCCTCACCAGGTGTCCCCCGGAGCTGCACACCAATCGACAACACCTCCACCACCTGCTTGCTACGAGGAGCAGGCACGGGGACTTCGCCGACTGTCATGACCACGAAGTGGTCCCGGATCGAACGCTCCTGCGGGAGAAGACAATCGCCATCGGGGCGAACCCCCGACTAACATTGCTACACTCTCTGCTTCCCTTTTCCCTTCTTTTTCTTTCTGCCCCGTAGGCCCTCCTCGAGGGGGCTTGCGGCCGGCCCATGACTTCGTGGGCTTTCTCAGTCACCCGGCCTCGGCCAAAGACTGACTACTATTACGGCTTCACTGCCGTGCCTGGAACCCGCTGACGGGGAAGGGCCCTGAATTTCCGACCGGCCTCAGAGCCTCAGAATTGCTAGATGGAGTGGTTAGGTGCTACACACGGTCCTTAGTCCAGGTACTCGGGATATTCTATGTATCTAGTCTTCTCTAGCCTAGCACGTCTTTTGCCCTTATAGGGATGTCCCAGACGGTAATCAATACTACTACTACTACTACTAGAAAAGTGGGACGGGAACCGAGTATTGGACAGCTCTAGATTAGGCTTAGCGAGTCTGACGCAGTGCCTCTGACTATCGTCAATGGCGGAATATATTAATAATAAAAATAAAGTGGGACGGGCACGAGTACGGTGCCAGGGAGACCAACGAACGAGGATCCCTCCACGTCCACGGGCTGCTCTGGTTACACGGAAACGCGCACCTGAGCTCGATGCTTTCCGACGCCCACGGGGAGGAGCAGGCCGCGTACCGTGAGCGAATCATCCGCTATGTCGATAGCGTCTTCTGAGGTAGGCAACGGCACGGGGCGTTGCTGTCATGGGCCGAGAAGACGCAGGCTGACGCGGAAGGCAGGACCTGGACCAGGAAGGCTTCTGCGCCGTCCAGGCGGAGCGTTCGGCGACGTCTGACGTCTCATGAGTCCCTGCTGGACAGTGCCGAGCAGTTCTCGGCCGCATTCGAAGAGGAGGCCAACTTCTGCGCCGGCGCGACGCAGATCCACACCTCAGCCCGACATGCGTCAAGTACTCCCTGGGCAACAAGGGGCGAAGGGCGACCTCTGTCGCTTCAAGGCGCCGTGGAGGATACGGGGAGAAAAGCCGACCAATCAAAGGCGGGGATTGGGGGCGCGAAAATGTTCTGGAGGCGGCGCGAGGCATTGTCCCACAAACCCACTTTTAAGTGGGTTTGTGGGACGAGTAGTACTTTCGTTCCTCAAGGCATTTCGTTCCTCAAGGCATTTCGTTCCTCAAGGCATTTCGTTCCTCAAGGCAGGGGTCATTTTAGCGTTCGCAACGACTTTTGAAAGCTGCCTCCGTACAGTAGAGAGGGAGACGAAGAACGAAATTTTTTTTTTTACACACATGCACCCCAAATTATGCCCTCTGCCCTGCTAGGCGGGCGTACGGAATCTCTCGGGGGCTGTAGCCCCCACTACCTCGCACCAGTAGCCAATCCTGTGCTTCCCACCCCGCACCTCCAAAAAGAGGTACAAAGCAATGGCGCATTGACCTCTACCCGTGCCATGACCCACTTTAAAATGGGGCGTGGCACGGGTAATCGTCCTGTGTGCCAAAACTATCCTCCCTGTGTTTAGCCGTATTGGGTACGGTGTCTAGCCAAAATAGGCAACGCTCTAGCCTAAGACAATTTGTACATCGTACGAAGTAGCAGCCGTAGTCTATTCGTACGCGTATCAATAGGTACTGCCGTCAGCGCCTATAGCAACCAATAGGTAGGTAGGTAAGTAGCGGCATGGGTCATAACATGAGAACTCTGGCGCCATTATTTGCTTTTCCTATCTCTCTGCTCACTATATAATATCAGTCGGATGGATTCATTTGTCTAGGCAGCGGTGTCGCGAATTTGTATGTACCCTTTCGCGACTCGTGCCAAGCCGCTAGCTAACCCGCGGCACTTTGCCCCCGTGGCTACAAGTACTCAGTTATCACAAATTCAACTACTCCGTACAGTTGCCGAGAGATCTGGCGTTCATCCAGGTTCGAAGAGGACGATGGTATGCCAACTCTTAGATGGTCAATCTGGCCTGCCTGTGGACAATCCGACGAGCTCCTACTGGCAGAAAGAACCTTCAGAGAAGTTGCTAGGACACCGTACGACTTCGATGTTACCTAACAAGGTTGATGTGGTTATTGTGGAAGTGGCATCACGGGCACGTTTGCTGCGCACACCTTGAAGGAGCAGAAACCCGAGTTGGATATTATAATGCTTGAGGCAAGAGAGGCATGTTGGGGGGCTACAGGACGGGTAAGTGACTCGATTATGATCAGCTGCAACGAATATATCACACGAGCTTCGAACACCTTCTCCTCTTATTTATTTACGCATCTCGTTAACGTATCCCCAGAATGGTGGCCACTGCCAACCTCTGCTGTACACATCGGCGCCTCATATTGCTACTTTCGAGCTGCGCACATTCGCGTACATAAAGTCCCTGGTCGAGGCTTACGACATTCCATGCGACTGGAACTCCACCAGGGGTGCACGCCTACTTCTCAAAATCTCTCGCTAGCCTGACGAGTGACATGGTTAAGCACCTCGGTAATGAGAATCCGGGCCTCGCCGCCAACCTGACATTTGTCAACAAGGGCAATGGTGGCTCTGTCGCCTGGCTACCAGAGAGCGAACGGAAAGCAGTGACGCTTGAAGGGTTACGCATCCCGAATGCCGAAGGTGCCGTCGTACAGCGATACGCTGCTAGCTTATGGCCATACAAACTAGTAGCTTTTATCTTGGAGCAACTTCTCGCTAAGTGCTCAGAAAAGGGTTCCTTCAATCTACAGACCAACACGCCAGTTACAAGGCTAAAGAAGGTTGACACGTCCAACGACCTCGTTGCAGCCGCGGCCATGGCCACATGGATCGTCGAGACGCCTCGTGGGAAAATCGCCGCTGGTTCAGTGCTGCTGGCAACCAATGGCTACACCTCGCACTTGTTGCCGCAGTTCAGGGACCTTATTGTGCCAACGCGAGGTCAAGTCGTGGCTCTGCCGCCGCGCGACCTGAAAGGTGACGAAACTCCACTGGACATTCGGAATACATACTATTTCTTTGGCGACGCCAGCGACAAGGCTGTGGGTCGAGACGACTACCTGGTCCAGCGTCCGGCTCCAGGTTCGGAGCTTGTACTGGGAGGGGGCCGTGAACGTGGCCGCAACGCTGGTGTCGGGGTTTGGGACGACTCTGAGCTCGACGAGCCAGTGAGCCGATGGCTTGGGGGTGAGTTGTCTACGGTGCTGGACCTGGATATGCGGCCTGCGAATGACTACCGGTACTTCTCTGCTGAAGAAGAGAAGAAGGCGAAGAGTCCGGACCCCGTAGCAACTTATGCATGGACAGGCATTATGGGTTTTTCGCGTGATGCCCACCCATGGGTCGGGTCAGTCCCGCCGTCACTTGGTGGTGGTTACGGCCTCTGGGTCTGCGCGGGATATACTGGCAATGGTATGCCGAACGCCGCACTGTGTGCCAAGGCCGTTGTCAATATGATGCTCATGACGGATGATGTTGATCTGCCGCCGGAGTACATGCTGACGGAGACGCGCGTTGAGAGCGCCTTGGCCAGAGACACGGTGGCCGTTGCTGCTGAGAAGGGTGTTCTGGCCTTACCGTACTTGGCTTGAATGCAAACCAGGACCTTGGGCAAGATTGGTATTCTCATATTCTCAAGACGTGCAGTTCATTCAGCCCGAAGGGCCTTTTGCCGCGAGGAACGAAAGGATTCTATGCCCCGCTGCAGACCACCTAAAAAATTCTACCACTTGGTTTAAAAGGCTCCCTTGTGATTGGTTCTTGTTTTTGCTTCCCTACATCCCCGACCCGTCATCACCTTAAATTGTCACCCAACCAGCTTAGTAGTAAGTAGTAGTAGTTGTTTATTACACTAGCTAGCCTGCAGGCTCTAGAGCATCTACTCGTTACCTATATAGGAAAAACCCGGTGGCCCAGGAGGAAAACCTATATACAACTTTCTCATCTGCCTCGGCCCGCGGGCCGCCGTCGTCGCGATGTTGAGCATGTTGGGTCGCAGCCGCCAGCCTGGTGCAGGTGGGGGACCTCCGTCCCAAACTGGGCCGGGGCGTCAGGTCCCGTAGGCGCGTTGTACCCGAATAGCGGATTAATAGGTTTGCTCATATCTGATTGGCCGACTTTTTGTATGGCAGGGCTCTAAAGTAGGCTGGATTGGCTGGTGTCGGTAGATAAGTGGTTACCATGCCCCACCCCCCTTTGGGTAACACCCCCCTTTGGGTACCGGTAGCGCAATTGAGAAAACCTCACCAAAAATCATCAATTTCATTTACACCGATTCCAGCCAGCTTTGAAGATATTCACAAGCCGTCACTTGGAGTAGATAGAGGATTGACTGAATTCTACTTTTTGATGGTTGAATGTTTGTACAGGGGTCTGTGGCCTGTGCGTACCTTGCACGCAAAATTACCATCCAGCCCCCTAATCTCCCTCTGCCTCCTGACGATGATTCTTCTTGTGATTCCTCCACCACCGGGCCAAAATGACCTCAAAGTGGCCTCGACGTGTCTACACGGAGGATGAAATGGCAAATGCTATATTGGACATCACAAAAATGGCTTGTCGCAGTATCGCGCTGCCCAAAAGTACGACATACCTCAGCAGTCTATTTCAACAGACTCAAAGGCCAAGCAGCCTTGGCTGATCAAATCCAGTCTCATAAACTCTCGAGGAAGACTCAGGAGGCTCTTCTGGTGTTCTGGATCCTCCGTCAAGAGTCTCTCGGCTATGCTCCCTCTCACAGTCAGATCCGCGCCTGTGTCGAAGCTCTTATGAGGCAACTGAACAATGAGCAGACAGTGGGCCGCAATTGGGTCTCCAAATTCATCCATCGCCACCTGGGGATCAAGATCAAGCGTGGAAGACGTCAGGAAGCCAGTAGATTTAACGCTTTCACGCCTCAGGCGGTTCACTGGTACTTCGATATCAGGGAAAAGGAGTATGGATGGATTAAGCCGGAGAATACCGTGAATGCTGACGAAGGCGGTATTATGTCTGGCTTTGGTGAGTTTTTGACTTGCCTTTCATTACTATAACTAACCAAGCTCCGTTTTCTAGGTTTGGATAGCCTTGTGGTTGGGAGTGCGGACCCAAAACGGAAGGCCCTTCTGAAAGGACCACAGTCCCGCAACTGGACCTCGTTTATTGAAGCTATCACTGCAGACGGCCGCGCCCTTACTCCTGGCATTATTTTCAAGGGCAAAGAACTCCAGAAGCAGTGGTTCTTGAAGGAATTCGGCAGAATAGCCGACTGGCATTATATAACTTCGCCTAACGGGTGGACAGATAACCATATTGCTATTGAGTGGCTTGAGAGGGTCTATTTGCCTCAGACGCGGCCAGCCGATGAGTCAGATGCTAGACTGATCATATTAGATGGACATGGAAGCCATGCAACGGTGCGTTTTCATATTTATCTGCCTAGGAATCACTATTAACCAGAACCAGGATGCATGGATGGCCACGTGCTTTTTGAACAACGTTTATTCCTGTTACCTTCCTGCCCACTGCTCTCATGGCCTCCAGCCATTGGATAACGGTGTATTCAATTCTATCAAGGCGGCATATCGGAAACTACTTCAGAATTTAACCTGCCTGACTGATTCTGCGCCCGTTGACAAGGTCAATTTTATACGGGCATATGCCAAAGCACGCGAGGTCGGAATGACCGCAAAGGATATATTGTCCGGCTGGAGGGTCACTGGAATTGGCCAATCTCACGATGCAAGGCATTGCGGCATGCAGAAATTCACGCAGATATGATAGAGACATCTCCAAAGTCTGCGCCATTTCTGGGTTCTGACGATACGCCAAGAACCAGCCGCCACATTCGAGACATTGGCAAGAACAAGACTCCTAGCACTCGGCGGCGTTTTGCCGTCATAGCTAAAGGCTTTGAAGCTCAAGAACAGACGCTTGCCGAACATAGCACCAGAATTGCGAAGCTGGAGGAAGAAGTGGCTCGGTTGCAGAGAGGCAAGAAGAGGAAAGCAATTCCGAACCCGAACAGGCGGTTCATGACTCTTAGTGAAGCTTTGGCAGCTAAGGAAGCTATTCCCCAAATCAGAAGCCAAGAAATACTCGTTGTGGGGAATTCTGACACTGAGGAGGAAGAGGTCTCAGAAGTGGAGACAGCGTCAGTGATCGTGGTCAAGGAGCACCTAAGTCACTTCCTGTCGCCACTAGGTCCGGGAGAGTAGTGAAAAGCGCCGGAATCAATAGGAGCGTTCATTTCTTTACAAAATGACATAATTTTTGTATTTATTATTCTAAGTTCTGATCATATTGCTGTCGAGAAGAAGGTCCAACGAGTTGAGGTCTCTAGGTCTCTCTAGGTAATACAGCTTGAAACCAGGTAAGAAGGGAAGTCTGCAGACTGTTCTTTCTTCTTCCTAGACCACTGAGGGGTCCGGAGGATCTCCTATTCGAACGGGGACCTTTTGAGGAGTCCGGCATAACTATTACTGGCTCGGGGACCTCGAGAGACTGAATTATCTATCTAATAGCTAGAAGAGCTATTTGATCGGGGAGATGGAGCTGATGTTGCTGACGTAGATGACTTACGTGGCCTTCAGTAAGTGGCAAGAAGTGCCCTCTTTCTGATAGAATGTATACTATACCTGAAAACGGGATATCAACTTGGGAGAAGCTTGGAGGATACAAAGAGGCCGTTTGGACGGGAAAAGGGCAACCGGGGCAGAGCAATCAACACATGCATTCTCGCATACCATCTGATCATATGATACTCGACCTTCGAAAAGTCCCTTTATCCACTTCTATGCCCACTTTGCTCTCATCTTCGCGAGAGCCTCAAGTGCTTTCTTGTCTTCCTTGTAAAGTTTATTCGATCGCCCTAGTGATAGAGGACCAAAATGTGTATGTTCTTGATCTGAAAAGTCCACAATTCTGCTTCTCTTAGACAAGTCACAAGCCAACCATAAGTGTTCCTGAGCGCTGAAAAGCGCCTAAAGTCAAGAGCTTGCAAGAGATGCCTTGAGTGTAATGGAGCAAAGATAGATGAGGGTATTTTAGCTATGAGAGAGGTCTTCAGCTTACAGAGAGGAAGGCGAGGGGCGGCGAGGGTCAGGGTGAGATCCGGCGCGACGGGGAAACGCACAGCGGCTCCGCAATAGCTTTATATTGCCCGGTCATAATCCTCGATCTTGCCCGGGGACTAAGAATTCTGTTCATGTAATTATTTTGCCGATTATCGATCTGTGGTGTGTTTTGCGACGGTGAGAATATGGAGCGGCAAGGATTTGGGCAGGGTAGTGGCCCACTAGGTGGTGTGGCCAACTAAGTCCCTGCACATAGAAATGGGCACCCCCCTGTTTTGGGCACCCCAAAAAAATCACGACCATTTTCAACACCATTAATTCAATCCCTTCTCACTGCCCACCACCGTGCACTACGATACAATCGTCACCTATTTCTGAAACCTCAGCTTCGGTTTCATCAGATTCTTCATTCTCAGCTGCGTTCACCTCCTCCTGCGCCCGTCGTATTGCCTCAATATTGGCGAACCTCGAATTCGGGCTCGTGACCACCCTCTTCCTTTTTCGGCTTGACGGCCGCCAATTGTGTTTCCAGTGCCTGAATCTGCAATTGAGCTTTTGCAAAGGCCATCCTTCTCGTCAAACCCTTTGTGATCTTCCTGAACAGCAATCTCTTCGTGGGCACGTCGTCGTCTAGCTGGTTGAATTGAACTACCTGAACCTTCAGATCTTGCGAGCGCCTCGGGGTCGACCACGCAATCTGGGATGTGTCTGATTGCCAGTCACTGGTGGGTAAGTGGCTATTGAATGCATTGGCCACATTTTCGCGTTCTTTTGCGTCTGTTGCTGTTCTCCAGCAGAAGAGGGCTCAAAGTGGCTTCGCCATCGACACCGGCCACAACCCGTCGCTTTCCAGCCACCCTTGATGTTTGACACAGTGAGCGCTTGCTCGCGTGCTTTCTGGTAGCAGGAAAGAAAGTTTTGCTTGCCGACTGGGCTTGAATCGGTCAGGAGGCTGAGAAATCCGACCTGTTTGCGGTAGTAGTGCTTAAGAGCGGAGAAGACAGACAAATCGAGCGGTTGCAGCACATGAGAGGAGGTAAGAAAAGAAGGTGAATCTGATGCTGGTAGCATAGATACATGAAGTCAACCGTCTCGTGACTTCCGTGGCCGTCCAATACTAGCAGTCTTCGCTCCGAAGGGTCGGGTGGCTGGGTTCTTGGAATGAACACCTTTTCGAGCCACTCCACCGCAGTTTGGTCCGAAGTCCAGCCGTTCTTTGTCGCAGGAATTGCCAGTCACTAAAAGTACTGAGATCTTCTGGGAACCACTGTTGCTGGACCGATTTGCCCTTGAAAATGACGAGTGGAGGGAGGAAGGTGCCGGCAGCGGACACGCACTCGATGAACGACGTCCAGACCCGAGAACCAGGCGTCTTCTTTTGTACAGATCGTTTTCAGCACTGCCAACGACCAGGCCATTCTCCCCAAGTCCTTCCATGATGCCTGCTTCATCCATGTTGTACCTGTTCTCCGGCTTAATAGCCAGAATCTCGGGAAGGAAGAAATTGTTGAACCAAGGCCGAATTACCTCGGTAGAAGCGCCGTTGACACGCGCAGAGTCTCTGTGATGGCACTTCTGGGTCCGAACTGCAGGATTTCGTCTTAAAAATGCTTGCATCCAGTGTTTTCCGAGCGGTGTGTGGTCTCCTTTGACGGCGAGCATGCGCTGCGCGAACTGCCTGATCTGCGAGTGAGTGGGAGGAAGGCCCAAGGCGTCCTGAATGAGAATCCATTCGGTAAGTTGCTTTTCCTGTGTCTGAGAAAGCCTCTGAAGAGCAGAAAATGCATCCTTTCTGCATTCGTGACCATGCATGCGATTGTAAGAGTTGCCCTCGACGCCCCAATCGCGAGCAGCCTTCTTGGCGGATCCGCCATTGGCGATTGCCTCAAGGGCGCTGTGAATGTCAGACTCTGTATATTTCATCAGTAGTGGCTTGAAGACACATGCGTCAATTTTTTAGCAGATTGGATGCGTTTCCGCGGTGAAATTTGCTGTTGAAGTTGACGCAGCCGTTTAGGTTGGGCACCCATCTTGGGTGCCCAAAACAGGGGGGTGCCCATTTCTATGTGCAGGGACTTAGGTGGTGAAGTACGTTAGTGTCTGTTATTGAGTTTCCCAGCCTTTCGCTATCTTGGCATATCGCCTCCGAGTCGTAGGTGTTCTGTTCTTGCCAAGATCACGAATATGGCGGCTGGATTTCGGGGTGTCGTCAGAGTCCAAAAACGGCCTATATTCCGGGGACGCCGTAACTTTGTCTTCTTGGATCTCAGGATGCCCCAACGCCTTGGAACGCGAGATTGGCCAATTTCCCAATGGTTCTCCAACCGGACAAGATGTTTCTTGTTGTCATTCCCGTTTGACGTGCTGTGGCATACGCACGTATAAAGTTGACCTTGTCAACAGGCGTGGAATCCGTCAAAGAAGCCAGTCTGTCAAGCTCCTTCCGGTAGGCTGTCTTTATAGCATTGAAAACACCGTTGTCTAATGGCTGGAGGCCATGAGAACAGTGAGATGGGAGATAAAATCAGTAGACATTGTTCAGAAAGCACGTAGCCATCCACTTATTCTGTCGTCAAATCAGCAGGGCCTCATCGCCGTAAAAACAAAGTACGAACCGTTGCATGACTCCCATGTCTATCCAGAATGATAAGCCTGGTCTCAGAGTCGTCGTCAGGCCGCGTCTGAGGCAAATAGACTTCCTCAAGCCATTCAACGGCAATGTGATTGTCCGTCCATCCATTTGGTGAAGTTATGTAGTGCCAGTCCGCAAATCTTCGAAACTCCTCTTTAAACCACTGTGCCTGAAGGTATTTACCCTTAAATATGATGCCTGAGTCAAGGCGCGCCCGTCGGCGGTGATGGCCTCTATAAAGTGGTCCAACTTCGGGACTGGGGTCCCTTGAGAAGAGTCTTCCGTTTGGGGTCCGAACTGCCAACCACCAGACTGTCTAGACCTAGCAAAGAGACCGAACTAGCTTATATCGCCTATGGAGAGTTGATTGCATACCAAAGCCCGACATAATCCCTCCTTCATCAACATTCACCGTGTTCTCCGGCTTGATCCACCCGTACTCCATCTCCCTGATGTCAAAGTACCAGTGCACGGCTTTGGGAGTAAATGAGTCAAATCTGTTGGCTTCCTGACGCCTACCGGCCTTGCTTCTAAGTTCCGGATGGCGTTGAATGAACTTTTCTACCCAATGACGTCCCAATCTTGAGTCGCAGCCTTGCTGTTTCAGAAGGGCAACAACGCAGGCGCGGATTTGACTCTGGGACGGAGCGTAACCCAGAGATTCTTGGAGAAGAGTCCAGGCAACCAAGTTGGCATCCTGGTCTCTGGATAAGAGTTTTTCAGGCTGTTCCTGGTCAGTTAATGCCGACCGACCTCGCATTCTGCTGGAAGTAGTACTCTGGGGTATCCCCCCTTTCTGAGAAGCCTGGCGCTGCGACAGACCGTTATCAGTGACATCGAGAATTGCCTCAGCCATCACGTTCTATGTATAGATAGAGAGAGGCTTTTTTTGGAGCCATTTGTGACAGGTGGTGGAGGATGAGCAAGAGTGGAAAGCAAAGGAGGCAGGAGGAGATTAGGGGTCGAAATTGCCATTTTGCGACGCCAGGGTGTCACGGACCACAACACCTGTGGTGGCCAGCTGACTAGATATAATGTAAACCCGGTCATTTCTATACCTGCTACAGGTTACTGCTCGTCAAAACCTTTAAAATTGAGTAGATTCTGTATAAGTGAAGTTGGTCCAATTTGTATGGAGCGGCAACATTTTTGCGGAGCAAAGGGGGTGTCACACAGGAGATATCAATAGGATATCCACAGCGGGTTTTGGTGGCTGATTCAGCGGCTGAGCGCCACAACACCGCAGTTTAGCGTCCGTGCCCTCAGCGGCTTCCAATATCCACCCTTGTCCACGGTCGGCCGGACGGCCGACCGCCGCCCGGAACGCGGCGTCTTGAAGGGCTCTCAAGGCTCGACGAGCTCGTCAAATTACGAGGGGAAGGGGAAACAAAAATAACCCTCGGATACCATCAAATCCTCGATTGCGTTGAGCAATCTGAATCTCAATTGCGTGGATTGCGTGGATTGCTGGCGTTGACGGTTGTCAATATGCTATTCGGAGATAACGACAAAGTCCTCTGGCCCGTCCTCCCTTCTCAGAATTATCCTCTGCGGCCTCCACGAAGGCGTTGTCGTCTACCGATGGATCAACGACTCCTGGTAGTTGTGTATTAATCCCGCGTTCAGCCAAGACCGGATGGACTGTGCGGCGCTGATGGTCTTCACCTCAAGTCTCCTGCGCAGCCGGGTAACCATCAGTCCAGCAAATGAAAACGCCCTTTCGCACTCGGCAGACATGGGCGGGACGGATAGCATATCGAAAGCCATCCGCGCCAGCCGCGGATATGTCGCCTCTTTGAGTTTCCAGTACTGAAATGGATCATTGATCTCCCGTCGTCTGCCCCGATATCGACGGTCCAACGATCCAACTCGTCGGCGATAGGGCGCGTCGGCAGCCGGTAATCACCATTCGTGATATGGCTCGATTGCACCCTGTGCCTCATTCGAAACTTTTGGAAATCGTCCAGATCGTCGGGTGGCTGGAAATCCTCCACAGCAGTGGCTGGACCCTCCTCGACGTTCAGCGACTTATAGTCACTTTCCCAGATGGCTCGGACGATCCGCCGGGCTTCCGTGACCCATTCGGGTCGATGAGCCCAAGCTTCTTCGAACCACTGTAACCGCAAGGCAGGATGCAGAGCGATGGCCGAGTAGTATATCGGACACTCGATGAGTTTCGCGTAGTACTTATCCAATTTTTTCCAACCCAATTCGACGTTGATTGCGAAGTGGCCAGAATCCGGCAGGTCTCTGGCCATCGTTTTGGCTTCTTCAAGCTTCTCCAGAAGATATTCGAACGCCTGGATGATATCCCATGCGGTTCCATAGGCTATGAGCTTCCCGTCTTTGCGGACACGGACTTGCGCGTCTCCTTCAAGTGCCTTGAGAGCATTGGCAAAATGTCTCAGGACATCTCGGAAATTGCTGATCACCATCCAATCGTTCTCCGTCAGTAAATCCTCATCTCGTATACACGCAGGCCTGGCTCTACTTCTCGACCTGCCTCTGCTGTGCTCGAACCGTTCGATCGCGACAAGGTCGTCGAGAAATTCGCGAAGGAGAAGAGCCCGATCCATCATTTTGTAATGAGACAGCCAGCGCGTCATGTTATCGGTCACAACGTCGACCGGCCTTTTCGTACCATCCTTCTTCTCCTGCAGGCTCCGTAGTAGATAGGTCAGCCTGTCGGATCGATGAATCCAATGGACGAGATTGTGGAGTTGCCGATCGGACCTTTTTCGCCAAAGGTTGTGCTGAGCCAGGTCGAGAATATTGGTACGATCTTCTGAATCGAAGACCTCGTCGTCTTTTCCAAAGAGCAGTGCTTTCGCTACAAGGTTGATAATATGTCCAAAGCAGCGGACCCTTCTTTGCCTCCCATCGAAACTGAATTGGTCACCCAGGGCCCTCATCGCGGTGTCGTTGTTCTCCGCGTTATCCAACGTGAAGTAGCCAATCTTATCCTGTATCTCGAACGAGGTGATGACTTCTGCCACCTGAGAAGCGATGTTCTCTCCAGTATGGGACTGCCGCAACTCAGGCATTCCGAGAAGTATTTTTTGTGGGCGCTTTTCCTTGACAGGTAGAACGCAGCAATCCCGTACACAGCGTGCCGATTGGGCGATCTCCAGCCGTCAAACGCAAGATGGATACGGCCGGGGCACTCTTTCAATTCCTTCACCACAACGCCCTTGTATTGGTGATACTCTTCGAAAAGCCTGGACCGAATGGTCGTGTGAGTCATGTGTGACTGGGTCAGGCCAATTGAAGGATTGAGATAGTCGAGCAGAGAACGGAATCGAGGGGCTTCGATGGCGCGAAAGGCAACATTTGACTCGGTGATCCAAGCAAGTAGGAGTGATTGGAACACATTCTTATCAAAGTGATTCTTGAGCGTGTTGATCAAGGCCTGCTCTTTGCCGTCGTTTGCGTCGAGCTCGAAGAACTGTGCGATAGAGCGCTTCTTTGTTGTCGTACCTTTCGGCAGACGTTTCCCCAACGGCCCAGAAATGCGGTGCGCATCGTGCAGATGGCGCTCGATATTTGTCGTTCCCTTCGCTGCAAAGCTTGGGGGTCCTTGGGGCGATTTCTTGACCGAACAGGTCCCGCATACCCACAGCCTATTGTCCCCGTTGTCTTGATGCTCAATGTCAAACCCAAAGCGCCAAATCCACGACTTGAGCTTGCCGGCGCGTTGGGATTTGGTGTAGCCGCGAAAGTGCTGCCATGGAAATGTTTCCCATTCTCGACTGCCTTGGGGGCCTGCAGAAGGCAAAGAATCGAGATAGTCGCCCATCTAAGAGAAGAGTGGGATAATATGAGAGGCGTTACAAACATCCCGATTGCGGCACGATGATTGAGTCACTTTCCCCCTTACTCATGAACGCGTGGACGCCAGGTTCAGACACGAGCGCGTCGCGTTCATAACAGCAAGGGACTCTTGTCAGAATGGATGATTGGTCCAATTGTCAATCTGCCCTGAGCTGCTGACGCTTCGGCTTGGGTGAGATTTCTTCATATAATCCACTGGTCATCTACCCTACACACTTTCCACCGTCAACGGCAATTCCGTCAATCCCGTCAATCAACGCGAGATCGGATTGAATTGCCGGCTTAATCAGCCGACCATCGATTGCGTTGATTGAGTTGCCAGTTGCTCAACTGGATTGAGCAACCGGTTGCCAGGATTGAGTGGTTTGCCAGCCTGCCCGGCGCCGTATTTTGGCTCGGATGATACACCAAAAACCAGCCGTCAGATTCGCGATCTTGGGCTAAACAAAACACCAAAGACACGGAGACGGTATAATGTGATAGCCAAAGGGTTTGAGACTCAACAACAGACGTTAATGGCGCATGCCACGAGAATTGCTGGCATGGAGGAGGAACTGGCACGCCTGAAGAGAGGGAAGAAGAGGAAGGCTATTCCGAATCCCAATAAACGTTTCATGACTCTGAGCGAGGCTCTAGCCTCTGGAGAGGCCAATCCGGAAAAAGGAAGCGAAAAGAAGCATGTTGTGGTGAACCATAGCTCTTCGGGGGAGTCAGGGCCAGAATCGGAGGCTGCTTCAGTTATTGAAGTCAGAGAAGAAACCATACTACCTCAGCGCACCACACGATCGGGGAGGACGGTCAAAAGCCCTAAAATCCAATAGATACATCAATTGTAAATTTATACCAGGCAACCATTTGCAAATAACTTTTATTTTGGTCAAGTTGTGTGTAAGTGAAATAGTTAAGTTTTGGTGGTGGTTTTTTTTTTTGCCTGGCGAAAGGGTGGGGTTGGCGAAAGGGTGGTGGTGCATGGTAGAGGGCTCGCATGAGGCGAAGAGCCCATCCCTGTCTGTAGTATCCGTCTGGGAAGGCTACATAGACCTCCTCGTCGTCTTCTAAGAGGGCGTTTGTGAAGGCATTAACTGCGTCGAGCTGTCGGGTCTCAAGGTCGAATTTGGCGGTGATGGCCATGAGAATCCGGAAAGAACGTCCTGCAAGGGTTGCTGCATAGGTGTCCTTGTCACCCAGCTGTTGAAGATCTCCTCGAACACAAAGACGGGCTTTGAACTTTGTAAGAAAGCCATGCTTGTCGAACTTATACTTAAAGACCCAGGTAAGTGGCAAAAGCTTGCCCGTGACCTGGTCTCTGGGGACCGCTCTGAAGGTTCCTCTCTGTTGGAGTGCTTTCCACTCGGCGTGGGCTCCTTCTCTGAACTGAGGACCAAATCTGTGGGTGCGAAGTTCCTTATACGTCGTAGGTTCGGGAGGAAGGTGTCGTCTGTGAAGTTTTCTTCTCTGCCGAGAAAGAAAGAGCTGTGGAATTGACCCTTAGTGTTGGTCGAAAAGCACTGAGCTTGCGAGGCTTTGGAGTGCGGGCTGAGCGCCGTGGCTGAGAGTCACTCGGACCGGGGTCCGGTGTCGGATATGGGTGCTGAATGTCATGAAACTCATCCTGATCATCCGAGTCCTCATGATCAGATGGTTCGGGTTGTACCACAATCGTGGTGGCGTCTCCTTGGTCTGAGGTTGAGGGAGATTGCTCAACGGGGTCAGGTTCAGGTTCATCGATTTGAGTGGGGATTTCCTCGTAATCCGACTCGTCCTCGATGTGGGCTGGAAGCTGTACTTCCACGCGCTGTGGGATAGGTTCTGGTGGCTGATCATTTCCGTCATAGAAGATGCTTTCATTGAAGGTCACATCTCGGACCCTTCGGACTTCTGATGTGGACGGAATCCAGATCCTGAAAATGTTCGTGGAATCATATCCAACGAGATAACCGATTTCTGTGTGAGGTCGGTCTTTAGGTCCTTCTTCTGTCTGTTCTGAAGGGCCTGGGGTGTCAAGGGATAGGCTCTGCAGCCGTATGCCTTGAGAAACGTGATGTCAGGCTGGTCTTGCTGGTAGCCTATGTCTCTGTTGTTGTCTCGCAGCCACTGATGAAGCAGCTGGAAAGGCGTTCGAAGCTGTGGTTCTGCATGGGCGATCTGTTGTGCAAAAACACTGCTGCTTTCCAAGTCTCTGGCCAAAGATCAGATGGTAAATTGGCATCAATTCCCATTGTTCTGGCCTGGGCAGATATTACCCCCAGATCGCTCTGCAGAACCGTTTTGAGCGGGAGTGTGGGGCAGAAGGTTCATCTTGAATCCCTTTCCTCGATCCAGCTCTCATACGCACTCTGAAGAGAACGATCGTTATCACGGTGGATAATGCAAATGTTGAGATTCCATTGGCGTTGAACCATTGCCTCGTGGTTTCTCAAAGCAGTCATAACGGACCCTTGTGTCGCGTCATTCAGAAGGTAGATGAAGATCATGCTTGTAAATTCATCTTTGATAAGAAGAACAGCTTCCTTGCCGTTGAATGAGGTGTTCATACTGAAGATATCAACGTAGATTCTCCAGAATGGTCTGGGGGCTCGGTTTTGAGGGGTTCGGCGAGAGACGACCTTCTTTCCCTTCCCAAGGGAACACGCGGTGCAATCGATGGTAACTGGGCCTTTGATCTTCGAACCCGTCGTGTTCTCAACAAGATGCTCTAGGGCTTGAGCGTTCAAGTGACCTAGGCGCTTATGCCAAAGCGTAGCATCTGCTGTTTTCACTGCGCGAGGTGCAGATGAAGGTGTGAAGTTGGAGGCGAGAGTCCTCCTTAATCGGGTTGAACTCGATGACCGGTTGACGAAAGCGGCGTTTCGTATGAAATATAATCTGATCGTCTTTAGAGACGCGTCCAGATAGTGGATTCCAGTTGTATCCCTTCGCAAGAAAGCGGTCGAGGATGCGATGTTGGTGTGGAATTTTGGCACGAAGGCAACTTCGTTGAGCTGAAAAAGTCCTCCTTCTTCAAGCTTCATACGGACTGTGCCGTAGCCAAGGATCTGAAGTTGACTATCGCCTGCAAAGAGCTCTTCTGGCTCTGCAAGGGCGGTGTAGTCAAGAAAACGGGATCGGTTGTTGCAAATGTGTGTGTCTGATCCGGAATATCAAGGATAAAGGAGTCATACAGCGGGTAGACTGCCTTTCCCGTCGAGAAACTGGTTGATGGAGGTGTTGAGGGAGGCGGTGTGTTGTCAGGAGCTGGTAGAAGACCGGCAAACGCTGTGCCTTTAACGGAGGAGTCGGACGATTTCTCCATTTCCTTCTTCTTGAAGTCTTGTGCTTTCTCCGTCATCTTCTTTGCCCATGGATTGGAGTCGAGGATTTCCTTGATCTTCTTCTCAACCTTCTGATCAGGAGTCCAGCCATCAGGCCGAGCTGATTTGATGAGATAGAAGCAATCTACGAAGCGGTGATATTCTCCGCAGACACACATAGGAACACCATCAGCGTTCTTGCTTGAAGACCACTTAGGCTTGTCCTATTTCCTCTCCGATTTCTCTCCTTGCCTTGGAAGGCAGCTCCGAATGATCCTTTGCTGTTGTTGGCGGCCTTGATTCGGTGAGCTCGTTCAAAGATCTCACTGATCTTAATGCCGTCCGGGAAGTCCGTCTTCCAATCAGGCTTGCCGAATACGGCCTCGTCTTCCATTTTGTTGACCCAATAGTCTGTGAATGGGGCGTTGATGGACGAAACAGCCTGTAGGAAATCTTGGGTAGGGCGAAGGTCCTGGACATCAGGAAGCCCTAATTGCTTTGCCTCAGTGAGGACTTTCTGCCATTGGGTGACCCAAGCTTCGATCTTGGTCCTGTTTGGCGACTGAAGGGTGGAACGATAACGCTGAACAACTTCCTCTCGAGTGCCCAGTCGGTTGGGGCCACACGAGCCTGAAGCAAGGCAAGTTGCTTTGCAACGTCGTGTTCCTCGGCAATGGTGCTGTAGTAGTTGCCGATGGTCTTGACGATGTGTTGTTGAAGGCTGGCGAGTGCCTTCACTTGATCCCTATACCCTTGAAGCTTCGAGCGGTATTGGGTGTGGAGGAATTCGAGACGGCGAAATTCCTCCGAGGTCAGATCCACGAGATCAGATGCTTCGTGGTTGATTTGTCGGAATGTTGGTTCAACTGGCTGCTGAAGAACCGGCTTACCCTCCTTGACGGCAGGGTCCAGAAAGTCCCAAAGACTGTGGGACGTGGCGAATTTCTTGATGATAGAAATCCATTGTTTCCAGTCGCAAGGGCCGTTGAGCACGGTGCCCTTGGAAGAGCCATCAAGATCTAGAGCTGAGCTCATTGTGGAAGCTATTCTGCGCAGCGGAATGAACGAGAATAAGATACCCAGTCAATGGCAGACCGGGCTCATAACTATCGCACGGAGGATGAGCAAGTGGGCATAAAGATCAGGGACTGGAAGACTCTTGATTCTGCTATCTAAGGTGGGAAAGAGGCGAGATCTTTATAGACTGCCTGAATATGAGAATGGAAGGGAATGGTAGTGAATGGAAGCATCTGATCGGATCATCTGGAAGCCACTGATGCGTTGATGATGCCTCCTAGAAGTTTCTGTGGGGAAATGTGGAAACGGACTGTGCGAATAGGGGGTCAGACTGTTGGAGGCTGATATCCTATGTGTGACACCCTTTTCTCCCTCTTTTGCTTCGCCAGTACCAACTTTTCTGCTTTTGCAATGCGAATATCTTCCTTTGACTTCGCAATAGCCCTCCCTTCGTCTACAGTCAGTACTCCACCGCTTTGAAGGTGGCGGTTCTTGTATTTCTTCCGGCCTTGGCGTTGCTGCTCGGGAAGCTTGGTATTGTACAGATCGACCATCGTTTGCTTTAACTCGTGGCCTTGGGAGATTGCACCTTTAACGTAGCGTTGAAGGTTATGTACGAAGACCTCCTTCTCAATATCATCAATTGGGTCAAACTCAAGGAGACGTTGGCCAACTGATTCAAACTTCCGTACGGTATGGGGTACCAAAGGGGATGAATACGGCTCTGCAGGTAGCTCTGTCGGCGGCGTCTGGTCCCGTACCCTCTCTTTGAGTCTCTCGAGGATTGGCTTTGGATTGAACGGGTGGATTCCTGTTTTTTTGAATGCCGAGAGGATTGTAGACTCCTTGAAGGCTTTGACGCGGATTGATTGGATCATAGCGAGGAACTCCAGCTTGGTGATTTTACTCGCACCACTGCGAATAGCAAAATCGACTGCCCGACTGTGGTAATGTTTATACGGCTGAAATACCACGACGTCAAGCGGTTGAAGGAGATGCGTAAGATGCGGAGGCAATGCAAAGAGCACAATATTATGGGCTTCAGCGTACTCGATAAGGTCAAGGGTATGGTGGGAGCCGTGGCCGTCAAGGAGCAATAGCCTCCAAGCACCTTTGCTCTTTGCATGCTTATCGAAATGTTGAATCCACGCTAGATTGAGCTGATCGTTCGTAAATCCGTTTCCGTAACACCAATAAGGGTATCGCCATCTAGCTCCTTGATGCCGTACCACTGTTCGAGGTGGACCTTGCCGGATAGGATCAAAACGCAGGGATGTATCGACCATCGGCAGAAATCGCTTCAACGGCTGTTGCCGACTCCTGTTTTCCTCAATACCAAAGTATTGCGATCGCCTTGATTTCGTGACGACAACTTGGTCCCTGCCAATACCAATACGGAAGCCCGTCTCGTCCATATTCCAGATATCAGCCGGGTTAATCCCGTACGAGGCAATCGTCTCGTGGAGCTTCTTGAAGTACTCGGTAACGTGCGGGACTGATTCGGCAAGCTTGCGTTGGTTATCGAGTACCTTTGCTTCATAATATGATATCCCTTGCGTTTAATAAAACGGGATATCCAGTTTTTGCCAACAAAGCATTGGGAGTCGAAGGGTTCGTTGCGGGTACCATCAGGGCCGACCGTGGAGCTTAGAACCCGATTTGCTGCATCGCGTAATAAGTCCTTCCGCACCGCAAGTCCTATACGCTCAAGACGATCGATATACAGATCGATTGAGTCCTCTTGAGCTGGCGATGGCCTCGTATGCGTTGCTTTATGGCCGCTGCGAGGTTGGATGCCGTGAAATCGCAAGCGGAGTCGTTCGCGTGGAACCCCAAATTCCTTAGCCGCAGCGCGAAGGGACATATTGGGATTTGCCTCAATGGCTTTAATAGCCTCGGCTACGCGCCTTTCAAGCGTAAGCTCTTTATTCTTCATAATGTGCCGTTGTTGAGGTCAAGATAGAGGCTTGAAGCGGTGAAGTGACACAGCCAGGTGGACCGGTGGTTGACACAGACAGGTGGTGAGGACCCACTTTACGTGGGTCTGTGGACGAGTATATCATTCTGTAGAGAAATGAACGCCCCTATCTATGCCGGCGCTATTTTACCACTCTCGCGCATCTAGTGGTGACAAAAAGGGCCTAAGGTGGGGCCTTGACTTCCGTCACTGAAGCTGACTCCACCTCTGAGACCTCCTCCTCCTCGGTCTCAGAATTCAGCACATCGGGCATTTTTTGACTTCTACTTTATGGAATGGCTTCCTGAGACACCAAAGCTTCACTGAGAGTCATGAACCGTCTGCTCGGGTTCGGAATTGCTCTCCTCTTCTTGCTTCTCTGCAGCTGGGCCACTTCTGCCTCCAGCTTCGCCATTCTGTTGCTGTGTTCAGCAACAGTTTGTTCTTGGGTTTCAAAGCCTTCTTGATATCACGTCATAACGCTTCCGAGTGTCAGGAGTCTTGTTCTTTCCGAAATCGCGAATGTGGCGGCTGGTTCTTGGGTACCATGCCCCACCTCCCTTTCGGTAACACCCACCTTTCGGTAGCGCATTAGAAAATATCCCCACCAAAAACCATCAATTTCACTTACACCGATTCCAGCCAGCTTTGAAGATATTCACAAGCCGTCACTTGGAGTAGATAGAGGATTGATTGAATTCTACTTTTCGATGGTTGAATGTTTGTACAGGGGTCTGTGGCTTGTGCGTACCTTGCACGCGAAATTACCATCCAACCCCCTAATCTCCTTCCGCCTCCTGACGATGATTCTTCTCGTTATTCCTCCACCACATGACCAAAATGACCTTAAAGCGGCCTCGGAGTATTTATACGGAGGATATTATGGCTAATGCGATAATTGATGTCACAAAAAACGGCTTGTCGCAGTACCGCGCCGCCCAAAAGTATGACATACCTCAGCAGTCTATTTCCGACAGACTCAAAGGCCAGGTAGCCCTGGCTGATCAGATCCAGCCTCGTCAACTCTTGAGTAAGTCTCAGGAAGCTCGCTTGGTTTCTTGGATCCTCCGCCAAGAGTCTCTCGGCTATGCTCCTCCCACAGTCAGATCCGCGCATGTGTGGAGGCTCTTATGAAGCAACTGAACAACGAGCGGACAGTGGGGCGCAACTGGGTCTCTAAATTCATCAATCGCCATCCGGACATCAAGAACAAGCGTGGGAGACGTCAGGAAGCTAACCGATTTAATGCTTTTACGCCTCGGGCGGTTCACTGGTTCTTCGATATCAGGGAAAAGGAGTATGGATGGATTAAACCAGAAAATACCGTGAATGTTGACGAAGGCGGTATTATGTCTGGCTTTGGTGAGTATTTGGCTTGTCTTTCATTACTTTTACTAACCAGACTCTTTTGCCAGGTTTGGATAGTCTTGTGGTTGGGAGTGCAGACCCAAAACGGAAGGCCCTTCTGAAAGGGCCACAGTCCCGCAACTGGACCTCATTTATTGAAGCTATCACCGCGGACGGCCGTGTCCTTACCCCTGGCATTATCTTTAAGGGCAAAGAACTTCAGAAACAGTGGTTCTTGACGGAATTCGGCAAAATAGCCGACTGGCATTACATAACGTCGCCCAACGGATGGACGGACAACCATATCGCTATTGAGTGGCTTGAGAGGGTCTATTTGCCCCAGACGCGACCAGCCGATGCCTCAGATGCTAGACTGATCATATTAGATGGACATGGAAGTCATGCAACGGTGCGTTTCTTTATCCACCTCTGTAGGAATTACTGTTAACCGGGACCAGCATGCATGGATGGCCACATGCTTTTTGAACAACGTTTATTGCTGTTACCTTCCTGACCACTGCTCTCATGGCCTCCAGCCGTTAGATAACGGTGTATTCAATGCCTCCAAGGCAGCTTACCGGAAAGAACTTCAGAAATTGACCTGTTTGACCGATTCTGCGCCTGTTCATAAGGTCAATTTTATACGGGCATATGCTAAAGCGCGCGAGGTTGGAATGACGGCAAAGAATATATTGTCCGGCTGGAGGGTCACTGGGAATTGGGCGATCTCACGATCCAAGGCATTGCGGCATCCAGAAATTCACGCAGACATTGTAGAGACGTCTCCAAAGTCCGCGCCATTTTTGGGTTCTGATGATACGCCAAGAAACAGCCGCCAGATTCGCGATTTCGGAAAGAACAAGACTCCTGGCACCCGGAGACGATACGCCGTGATAGCTAGAGGCTTTGAAGCCCAAGAACAGACGCTTGCCGAGCACAGCAACAGAATCGCGAAGCTAGAGGAAGAAGTGGCCCGGCTGCAGAGAGGCAAGAAGAGGAGAGCAATTCCGAACCCGAACAGACGGTTCATGACTCTCAGTGAAGCTTTGGTGGCTGAGGAAGCCATTCCCCAAATTAAAAGCCAAGAGATAGCCGTTGTGCTGAATTCTGACACAGAGGAGGAGGAGGTCTCAGAGGTGGAGACAGCTTCAGTGATCGAAGTCAAGGTGGCACCCGAAGCCCTTCCAGTCACCACCAGATCCGGGCGAATGGTAAAAAAGCGCCGGTACATATAAGAGCGTCCATTTCTCTACGGAATGATATATTTTTTGTGTTTATAATGTTAAGTTCTGATCATATTTCATGTAGTTCAAATGGTAGACTTTTGGTGGAGAATTTTTCAATTGCGCTACCGAAAGGTGGGTGTTACCGAAAGGGGGGTGGGGCATGGTATATCATCAGGAGCCAAAAGTGGCGCAGAATTTGTAGATGTCTCTACCGTATTTGCATGAATTTCTGCATGCTGCAATGCCTTAGATCGTGAGATTGGCCAATTTCCAGTGACCCTCTAGCCGGACAAAATATTCTTTGCAGTCATTCTGACTTCACGTGCTTTGGCATGTGCCCGTATACAATTGACCTTATCAATGGGCGCAGAATCCGTCAGACAGGTTAATTTCTTGAGTTCTTTCCGATACGCCGTCTCGATAGTGTTAGGAATACATTTATCCAGCGGCTGGAGGCCATGAGAGCAGTGGGAAGGAAGGTAACAGCGGTAGGCGTTGTTCAAAATGCACGTGGCCATCCATGTATCCTGGTCCCGGTCAACAGTGATTTCCAGGCAGATAAATACGGAAACGCACCGTTTTATGGCTTTCATATTCATCCAATATGATCAGTCTAGCATCTGACTCATCAGCAGGCCGCATCTCAGGAAATAGACTCTCTCAAGCCACTCAATAGCGATAGGTTGTCCGTCCATCAGTTGGGCGAGGCAATGCAATACCAGTCGGCTATTTTGCCGAATTCCGTCACGAACCACTGTTTCTGGAGTTCTTTGCCCTCGAAAGTGATGCCAGGAGTAAGGGCACGGCCGTCCGCGGTGATAGCTTCGAAAGGAGGTCTGGTTGCAAGGCTGTGGTCCTTTCAGAAGGGCCTTCCCTTTTGGGTCTGTAATCCCAACCCCAAGACCATCCAAACCTGACAAAAAGAGGTTGGGTGGTTGGAATATTAAGCGGCAAGTCAAACGCTCATCAAAGCCAGATATAATACCGCCCTCGTCGGCATTCACGGTATTCTCCGGTTTAATCCGCCCATACCCCTTGTCCCTGATATCGAAGTACCAGTGAACCGCCCGAGGCGTGAAAGTGTTAAACCTGTTAGCTTCCTGACGTCTTTCACGCTTGTTCTTGATCTCCGGATGGCGATTGATGAATTTGGTGGACCGGTTGCGGCCCACTGTCCGCTTGTTGTTCAGTTGCTTTATAGAGTCTCCACGCAGGCGCGGATCGCTCTGTGGGAAGGAGCAGAGCCAAGAGACTCTTGACGGATGACCTAGGACACAAAACAAGCCTTCTGATTCTTTCTCAAGTGTTTGTGAGCCTGGATTTGATCAGCCAGGGCTGCTTGGTCTTTTGTCAGTCGGAAATAGCCAGGCTGGCAAACCACTCAATCCTGGCAACCGGTTGCTCAATCCAGTTGAGCAACTGGCAACTCAATCAACGCAATCGATGGTCGGCTGATTAAGCCGGCAATTCAATCCGATCTCGCGTTGATTGACGGGATTGACGGAATTGTTTAGTTTAGTTTAGTTTAGTGTATTTTCCGTCCAGCAACTTTTGGTCGCTCAGGTCTCCGCAGGGGAGCACAGGACGTGCTGAGCTAGCAGGTGTCTACATGCTACATATCGTACACTTCACCCACTATCCAGCATTTCATCGGCTCAACGGCGCTCATGACAAACCTGTTGCCCGTCAGCGGGACGTCCAGGCATGAAGAGAAAGCTGTCCCGTGGTCAGATCAGCCAATTTGCTTCTGGGGCCTTGCAGCCCTTGATGACCTCGGCGATCGCATGGTCGCGAGACCTTGACGCCGCCCGAGATCGGAGCAGGTAACAGAAAGGATTGAGAGGAAAGGTAGGTGAGAGAGGAGAATGATGACCGTCTAGTGGCGTGGGCAGATCCCTCCGAAGAAGGAGCTCGCTTTCGCCAGCCTGACGAATTTGTCAAAGTCCTTGCCGATTGCGCGGTTGATGGCTGCAGCCGGCCAAGGTGCAAGCCGCATACGATGCCGTGGCGCAACCTTTCTGCAGTAAAAGATGTGTGCTGGCTCTTTCGTCTTCCGCACGAGCACGTCAGTCGCGCATTGTCGTGACCAAACCTTTCGTGGTAGTCAGCAAAATCCCCATGGTGGGTTCTTGCTGCAAGCAAGTTACGAAGCAGGGGCCGAGAGAGCGCCAATTCTGACGGGCAGCTGGTTGTGGCTTTAAGCCTCAGGTCTCTGTATCGCTCCGGCGCAGAGGCTTCCCACCAGGCCTTGAAAGCCTCTTCCGGCTGCTGTCGGGCAATCTTTCGCAGGTGCGCTAGCGTCGGGACGTTATCAGCGGGTTCTGGCAGTGATGCTCCCGCCTTTGCCAGAGCATCAGCCTCCTCGTTGCCTGGGATGTCAGCATGGCCGGGGATCCAATGGACCTCCACAGCTCCGTATTTTCGCGCCAAAGATTGAAACTCAAGGAAGACCTCTTGCGAGGAGTCGCTCGGCGTGCCCCGTAAGCATGTTGCGGTCGCGAGGTTGTCGAGGCAGACAAAGATGCGGTCAGTTTCTGGAAGGCTCACCGCAGCCTTCAACCCCTCCAACGCACCTTTCGCCTCAGCGTCGAAAATCTCGGCGGGCCCGAGACGGCCCTTGTCGCGCAAGACGGTGGATCCGTCCCGATGAACAACATAGCCATATCCGGCGTGGCCTTCGGTAGAACGGGACCCGTCGGAATAGACGACCAGAGTTCGGGGCGATAGTGCCTGGAGCCAATCGCGAAATTTCTTCGCCGTCTCATTTTTCGATGCACTCTGCAGAGGCGCAGTCTGCTCTTCGACAAATCCGCGCTGCAGCAAGGCAGGCCTTGGGCAGCTTGGTAGCGTCGGAGCGCCGCAGCCTAGTCCGGAAGGGTTTTGGCTGCTTTTGGTACTTCAGCTTGATCATTTCATTCAGTATAGGGGCTTTTGGCCTCGACGTGCGCTTCACGAGCGGCGGAATTGCCGTTGACGGTGGAAAGTGTGTAGGGTAGATGACCAGTGGATTATATGAAGAAATCTCACCCAAGCCGAAGCGTCAGCAGCTCAGGGGCAGATTGACAATTGGACCAATCATCCATTCTGACAAGAGTCCCTTGCTGTTATGAACGCGACGCGCTCGTGTCTGAACCTGGCGTCCACGCGTTCATGAGTAAGGGGGAAAGTGACTCAATCATCGTGCCGCAATCGGGATGTTTGTAACGCCTCTCATATTATCCCACTCTTCTCTTAGATGGGCGACTATCTCGATTCTTTGCCTTCTGCAGGCCCCAAGGCAGTCGAGAATGGGAAACATTTCCATGGCAGCACTTTCGCGGCTACACCAAATCCCAACGCGCCGGCAAGCTCAAGTCGTGGATTTGGCGCTTTGGGTTTGACATTGAGCATCAAGACAACGGGGACAATAGGCTGTGGGTATGCGGGACCTGTTCGGTCAAGAAATCGCCCCAAGGACCCCCAAGCTTTGCAGCGAAGGGAACGACAAATATCGAGCGCCATCTGCACGATGCGCACCGCATTTCTGGGCCGTTGGGGAAACGTCTGCCGAAAGGTACGACAACAAAGAAGCGCTCTATCGCACAGTTCTTCGAGCTCGACGCAAACGACGGCAAAGAGCAGGCCTTGATCAACACGCTCAAGAATCACTTTGATAAGAATGTGTTCCAATCACTCCTACTTGCTTGGATCACCGAGTCAAATGTTGCCTTTCGCGCCATCGAAGCCCCTCGATTCCGTTCTCTGCTCGACTATCTCAATCCTTCAATTGGCCTGACCCAGTCACACATGACTCACACGACCATTCGGTCCAGGCTTTTCGAAGAGTATCACCAATACAAGGGCGTTGTGGTGAAGGAATTGAAAGAGTGCCCGGCCGTATCCATCTTGCGTTTGACGGCTGGAGATCGCCCAATCGGCACGCTGTGTACGGGATTGCTGCGTTCTACCTGTCCAAGGAAAAGCGCCCACAAAAAATACTTCTCGGAATGCCTGAGTTGCGGCAGTCCCATACTGGAGAGAACATCGCTTCTCAGGTGGCAGAAGTCATCACCTCGTTCGAGATACAGGATAAGATTGGCTACTTCACGTTGGATAACGCGGAGAACAACGACACCGCGATGAGGGCCCTGGGTGACCAATTCAGTTTCGATGGGAGGCAAAGAAGGGTCCGCTGCTTTGGACATATTATCAACCTTGTAGCGAAAGCACTGCTCTTTGGAAAAGACGACGAGGTCTTCGATTCAGAAGATCGTACCAATATTCTCGACCTGGCTCAGCACAACCTTTGGCGAAAAAAAGGTCCGATCGGCAAACTCCACAATCTCGTCCATTGATTCATCGATCCGACAGGCTGACCTATCTACTACGGAGCCTGCAGGAGAAGAAGGATGGTACGAAAAGGCCGGTCGACGTTGTGACCGATAACATGACGCGCTGGCTGTCTCATTACAAAATGATGGATCGGGCTCTTCTCCTTCGCGAATTTCTCGACGACCTTGTCGCGATCGAACGGTTCGAGCACAGCAGAGGCAGGTCGAGAAGTAGAGCCAGGCCTGCGTGTATACGAGATGAGGATTTACTGACGGAGAACGATTGGATGGTGATCAGCAATTTCCGAGATGTCCTGAGACATTTTGCCAATGCTCTCAAGGCACTTGAAGGAGACGCGCAAGTCCGTGTCCGCAAAGACGGGAAGCTCATAGCCTATGGAACCGCATGGGATATCATCCAGGCGTTCGAATATCTTCTGGAGAAGCTTGAAGAAGCAAAACGATGGCCAGAGACCTGCCGGATTCTGGCCACTTCGCAATCAACGTCGAATTGGGTTGGAAAAAATTGGATAAGTACTACGCGAAACTCATCGAGTGTCCGATATACTACTCGGCCATCGCTCTGCATCCTGCCTTGCGGTTACAGTGGTTCGAAGAAGCTTGGGCTCATCGACCCGAATGGGTCACGGAAGCCCGGCGGATCGTCCGAGCCATCTGGGAAAGTGACTATAAGTCGCTGAACGTCGAGGAGGAGGGTCCAGCCACTGCTGTGGAGGATTTCCAGCCACCCGACGATCTGGACGATTTCCAAAAGTTTCGAATGAGGCACAGGGTGCAATCGAGCCATATCACGAATGGTGATTACCGGCTGCCGACGCGCCCTATCGCCGACGAGTTGGATCGTTGGACCGTCGATATCGGGGCAGACGACGGGAGATCAATGATCCATTTCAGTACTGGAAACTCAAAGAGGCGACATATCCGCGGCTGGCGCGGATGGCTTTCGATATGCTATCCGTCCCGCCCATGTCTGCCGAGTGCGAAAGGGCGTTTTCATTTGCTGGACTGATGGTTACCCGGCTGCGCAGGAGACTTGAGGTGAAGACCATCAGCGCCGCACAGTCCATCCGGTCTTGGCTGAACGCGGGATTAATACACAACTACCAGGGAGTCGTTGATCCATCGGTAGACGACAACGCCTTCGTGGAGGCCGCAGAGGATAATTCTGAGAAAGGGGAGGACGGGCCAGAGGACTTTGTCGTTATCTCCGAATAGCATATTGACAACCGTCAACGCCAGCAATCCACGCAATCCACGCAATTGAGATTCAGATTGCTCAACGCAATCGAGGATTTGATGGTATCCGAGGGTTATTTTTGTTTCCCCTCCCCCTCGTAATTTGACGAGCTCGTCGAGCCTTGAGAGCCCTTCAAGACGCCGCGTTCCGGGCGGCGGTCGGCCGTCCGGCCGACCGTGGACAAGGGTGGATATTGGAAGCCGCTGAGGGCACGGACGCTAAACTGCGGTGTTGTGGCGCTCAGCCGCTGAATCAGCCACCAAAACCCCGCTGTGGATATCCTATTGATATCTCCTGTGTGACACCCCCCTTTTGCTCCGCAAAAATGTTGCCGCTCCATACAAATTGGACCAACTTCACTTATACAGAATCTACTCAATTTTAAAGGTTTTGACGAGCAGTAACCTGTAGCAGGTATAGAAATGACCGGGTTTACATTATATCTAGTCAGCTGGCCACCACAGGTGTTGTGGTCCGTGACACCCTGGCGTCGCAAAATGGCAATTTCGACCCCTAATCTCCTCCTGCCTCCTTTGCTTTCCACTCTTGCTCATCCTCCACCACCTGTCACAAATGGCTCCAAAAAAGCCTCTCTCTATCTATACATAGAACGTGATGGCTGAGGCAATTCTCGATGTCACTGATAACGGTCTGTCGCAGCGCCAGGCTTCTCAGAAAGGGGGGATACCCCAGAGTACTACTTCCAGCAGAATGCGAGGTCGGTCGGCATTAACTGACCAGGAACAGCCTGAAAAACTCTTATCCAGAGACCAGGATGCCAACTTGGTTGCCTGGACTCTTCTCCAAGAATCTCTGGGTTACGCTCCGTCCCAGAGTCAAATCCGCGCCTGCGTTGTTGCCCTTCTGAAACAGCAAGGCTGCGACTCAAGATTGGGACGTCATTGGGTAGAAAAGTTCATTCAACGCCATCCGGAACTTAGAAGCAAGGCCGGTAGGCGTCAGGAAGCCAACAGATTTGACTCATTTACTCCCAAAGCCGTGCACTGGTACTTTGACATCAGGGAGATGGAGTACGGGTGGATCAAGCCGGAGAACACGGTGAATGTTGATGAAGGAGGGATTATGTCGGGCTTTGGTATGCAATCAACTCTCCATAGGCGATATAAGCTAGTTCGGTCTCTTTGCTAGGTCTAGACAGTCTGGTGGTTGGCAGTTCGGACCCCAAACGGAAGACTCTTCTCAAGGGACCCCAGTCCCGAAGTTGGACCACTTTTATAGAGGCCATCACCGCCGACGGGCGCGCCTTGACTCCAGGCATCATATTTAAGGGTAAATACCTTCAGGCACAGTGGTTTAAAGAGGAGTTTCGAAGATTTGCGGACTGGCACTACATAACTTCACCAAATGGATGGACGGACAATCACATTGCCGTTGAATGGCTTGAGGAAGTCTATTTGCCTCAGACGCGGCCTGACGACGACTCTGAGACCAGGCTTATCATTCTGGATAGACATGGGAGTCATGCAACGGTTCGTACTTTGTTTTACGGCGATGAGGCCCTGCTGATTTGACGACAGAATAAGTGGATGGCTACGTGCTTTCTGAACAATGTCTACTGATTTTATCTCCCATCTCACTGTTCTCATGGCCTCCAGCCATTAGACAACGGTGTTTTCAATGCTATAAAGACAGCCTACCGGAAGGAGCTTGACAGACTGGCTTCTTTGACGGATTCCACGCCTGTTGACAAGGTCAACTTTATACGTGCGTATGCCACAGCACGTCAAACGGGAATGACAACAAGAAACATCTTGTCCGGTTGGAGAACCATTGGAAATTGGCCAATCTCGCGTTCCAAGGCGTTGGGGCATCCTGAGATCCAAGAAGACAAAGTTACGGCGTCCCCGGAATATAGGCCGTTTTTGGACTCTGACGACACCCCGAAATCCAGCCGCCATATTCGTGATCTTGGCAAGAACAGAACACCTACGACTCGGAGGCGATATGCCAAGATAGCGAAAGGCTGGGAAACTCAATAACAGACACTAACGTACTTCACCACCTAGTTGGCCACACCACCTAGTGGGCCACTACCCTGCCCAAATCCTTGCCGCTCCATATTCTCACCGTCGCAAAACACACCACAGATCGATAATCGGCAAAATAATTACATGAACAGAATTCTTAGTCCCCGGGCAAGATCGAGGATTATGACCGGGCAATATAAAGCTATTGCGGAGCCGCTGTGCGCCGGTTTCCCCGTCGCGCCGGATCTCACCCCTGACCCCTCGCCGCCCCTCGCCTTCCTCTCTGTAAGCTGAAGACCTCTCTCCATAGCTAAAATACCCTCATCTATCTTTGCTCCATTACACTCAAGGCATCTCTTGCAAGCTCTTGACTTTAGGCGCTTTTCAGCGCTCAGGAACACTTATGGTTGGCTTGTGACTTGTCTAAGAGAAGCAGAATTGTGGACTTTTCAGATCAAGAACATACACATTTTGGTCCTCTATCACTAGGGCGATCGAATAAACTTTACAAGGAAGACAAGAAAGCACTTGAGGCTCTCGCGAAGATGAGAGCAAAAGTGGGCATAGAAGTGGATAAAGGGACTTTTCGAAGGTCGAGTATCATATGATCAGATGGTATGCGAGAATGCATGTGTTGATTGCTCTGCCCCCGGTTGCCCTTTTCCCGTCCAAACGGCCTCTTTGTATCCTCCAAGCTTCTCCAAGTTGATATCCCGTTTTCAGGTATAGTATACATTCTATCAGAAAGAGGGCACTTCTTGCCACTTACTGAAGGCCACGTAAGTCATCTACGTCAGCAACATCAGCTCCATCTCCCCGATCAAATAGCTCTTCTAGCTATTAGATAGATAATTCAGTCTCTCGAGGTCCCCGAGCCAGTAATAGTTATGCCGGACTCCTCAAAAGGTCCCCGTTCGAATAGGAGATCCTCCGGACCCCTCAGTGGTCTAGGAAGAAGAAAGAACAGTCTGCAGACTTCCCTTCTTACCTGGTTTCAAGCTGTATTACCTAGAGAGACCTAGAGACCTCAACTCGTTGGACCTTCTTCTCGACAGCAATATGATCAGAACTTAGAATAATAAATACAAAAATTATGTCATTTTGTAAAGAAATGAACGCTCCTATTGATTCCGGCGCTTTTTCACTACTCTCCCGGACCTAGTGGCGACAGGAAGTGACTTAGGTGCTCCCTTGACCACGATCACTGACGCTGTCTCCACTTCTGAGACCTCTTCCTCCTCAGTGTCAGAATTCCCCACAACGAGTATTTCTTGGCTTCTGATTTGGGGAATAGCTTCCTTAGCTGCCAAAGCTTCACTAAGAGTCATGAACCGCCTGTTCGGGTTCGGAATTGCTTTCCTCTTCTTGCCTCTCTGCAACCGAGCCACTTCTTCCTCCAGCTTCGCAATTCTGGTGCTATGTTCGGCAAGCGTCTGTTCTTGAGCTTCAAAGCCTTTAGCTATGACGGCAAAACGCCGCCGAGTGCTAGGAGTCTTGTTCTTGCCAATGTCTCGAATGTGGCGGCTGGTTCTTGGCGTATCGTCAGAACCCAGAAATGGCGCAGACTTTGGAGATGTCTCTATCATATCTGCGTGAATTTCTGCATGCCGCAATGCCTTGCATCGTGAGATTGGCCAATTCCCAGTGACCCTCCAGCCGGACAATATATCCTTTGCGGTCATTCCGACCTCGCGTGCTTTGGCATATGCCCGTATAAAATTGACCTTGTCAACGGGCGCAGAATCAGTCAGGCAGGTTAAATTCTGAAGTAGTTTCCGATATGCCGCCTTGATAGAATTGAATACACCGTTATCCAATGGCTGGAGGCCATGAGAGCAGTGGGCAGGAAGGTAACAGGAATAAACGTTGTTCAAAAAGCACGTGGCCATCCATGCATCCTGGTTCTGGTTAATAGTGATTCCTAGGCAGATAAATATGAAAACGCACCGTTGCATGGCTTCCATGTCCATCTAATATGATCAGTCTAGCATCTGACTCATCGGCTGGCCGCGTCTGAGGCAAATAGACCCTCTCAAGCCACTCAATAGCAATATGGTTATCTGTCCACCCGTTAGGCGAAGTTATATAATGCCAGTCGGCTATTCTGCCGAATTCCTTCAAGAACCACTGCTTCTGGAGTTCTTTGCCCTTGAAAATAATGCCAGGAGTAAGGGCGCGGCCGTCTGCAGTGATAGCTTCAATAAACGAGGTCCAGTTGCGGGACTGTGGTCCTTTCAGAAGGGCCTTCCGTTTTGGGTCCGCACTCCCAACCACAAGGCTATCCAAACCTAGAAAACGGAGCTTGGTTAGTTATAGTAATGAAAGGCAAGTCAAAAACTCACCAAAGCCAGACATAATACCGCCTTCGTCAGCATTCACGGTATTCTCCGGCTTAATCCATCCATACTCCTTTTCCCTGATATCGAAGTACCAGTGAACCGCCTGAGGCGTGAAAGCGTTAAATCTACTGGCTTCCTGACGTCTTCCACGCTTGATCTTGATCCCCAGGTGGCGATGGATGAATTTGAGACCCAATTGCGGCCCACTGTCTGCTCATTGTTCAGTTGCCTCATAAGAGCTTCGACACAGGCGCGGATCTGACTGTGAGAGGGAGCATAGCCGAGAGACTCTTGACGGAGGATCCAGAACACCAGAAGAGCCTCCTGAGTCTTCCTCGAGAGTTTATGAGACTGGATTTGATCAGCCAAGGCTGCTTGGCCTTTGAGTCTGTTGGAAATAGACTGCTGAGGTATGTCGTACTTTTGGGCAGCGCGATACTGCGACAAGCCATTTTTTGTGATGTCCAATATAGCATTTGCCATTTCATCCTCCGTGTAGACACGTCGAGGCCACTTTGAGGTCATTTTGGCCCGGTGGTGGAGGAATCACAAGAAGAATCATCGTCAGGAGGCAGAGGGAGATTAGGGGGCTGGATGGTAATTTTGCGTGCAAGGTACGCACAGGCCACAGACCCCTGTACAAACATTCAACCATCAAAAAGTAGAATTCAGTCAATCCTCTATCTACTCCAAGTGACGGCTTGTGAATATCTTCAAAGCTGGCTGGAATCGGTGTAAATGAAATTGATGATTTTTGGTGAGGGTTTTCTCAATTGCGCTACCGGTACCCAAAGGGGGGTGTTACCCAAAGGGGGGTGGGGCATGGTAACCACTTATCTACCGACACCAGCCAATCCAGCCTACTTTAGAGCCCTGCCATACAAAAAGTCGGCCAATCAGATATGAGCAAACCTATTAATCCGCTATTCGGGTACAACGCGCCTACGGGACCTGACGCCCCGGCCCAGTTTGGGACGGAGGTCCCCCACCTGCACCAGGCTGGCGGCTGCGACCCAACATGCTCAACATCGCGACGACGGCGGCCCGCGGCCGAGGCAGATGAGAAAGTTGTATATAGGTTTTCCTCCTGGGCCACCGGGTTTTTCCTATATAGGTAACGAGTAGATGCTCTAGAGCCTGCAGGCTAGCTAGTGTAATAAACAACTACTACTACTTACTACTAAGCTGGTTGGGTGACAATTTAAGGTGATGACGGGTCGGGGATGTAGGGAAGCAAAAACAAGAACCAATCACAAGGGAGCCTTTTAAACCAAGTGGTAGAATTTTTAGGTGGTCTGCAGCGGGGCATAGAATCCTTTCGTTCCTCGCGGCCCTTCGGGCTGAATGAACTGCACGTCTTGAGAATATGAGAATACCAATCTTGCCCAAGGTCCTGGTTTGCATTCAAGCCAAGTACGGTAAGGCCAGAACACCCTTCTCAGCAGCAACGGCCACCGTGTCTCTGGCCAAGGCGCTCTCAACGCGCGTCTCCGTCAGCATGTACTCCGGCGGCAGATCAACATCATCCGTCATGAGCATCATATTGACAACGGCCTTGGCACACAGTGCGGCGTTCGGCATACCATTGCCAGTATATCCCGCGCAGACCCAGAGGCCGTAACCACCACCAAGTGACGGCGGGACTGACCCGACCCATGGGTGGGCATCACGCGAAAAACCCATAATGCCTGTCCATGCATAAGTTGCTACGGGGTCCGGACTCTTCGCCTTCTTCTCTTCTTCAGCAGAGAAGTACCGGTAGTCATTCGCAGGCCGCATATCCAGGTCCAGCACCGTAGACAACTCACCCCCAAGCCATCGGCTCACTGGCTCGTCGAGCTCAGAGTCGTCCCAAACCCCGACACCAGCGTTGCGGCCACGTTCACGGCCCCCTCCCAGTACAAGCTCCGAACCTGGAGCCGGACGCTGGACCAGGTAGTCGTCTCGACCCACAGCCTTGTCGCTGGCGTCGCCAAAGAAATAGTATGTATTCCGAATGTCCAGTGGAGTTTCGTCACCTTTCAGGTCGCGCGGCGGCTTGAGAGCCACGACTTGACCTCGCGTTGGCACAATAAGGTCCCTGAACTGCGGCAACAAGTGCGAGGTGTAGCCATTGGTTGCCAGCAGCACTGAACCAGCGGCGATTTTCCCACGAGGCGTCTCGACGATCCATGTGGCCATGGCCGCGGCTGCAACGAGGTCGTTGGACGTGTCAACCTTCTTTAGCCTTGTAACTGGCGTGTTGGTCTGTAGATTGAAGGAACCCTTTCTGAGCACTTAGCGAGAAGTTGCTCCAAGATAAAAGCTACTAGTTTGTATGGCCATAAGCTAGCAGCGTATCGCTGTACGACGGCACCTTCGGCATTCGGGATGCGTAACCCTTCAAGCGTCACTGCTTTCCGTTCGCTCTCTGGTAGCCAGGCGACAGAGCCACCATTGCCCTTGTTGACAAATGTCAGGTTGGCGGCGAGGCCCGGATTCTCATTACCGAGGTGCTTAACCATGTCACTCGTCAGGCTAGCGAGAGATTTTGAGAAGTAGGCGTGCACCCCTATGGTGGAGTTCCAGTCGCATGGAATGTCGTAAGCCTCGACCAGGGACTTTATGTACGCGAATGTGCGCAGCTCGAAAGTAGCAATATGAGGCGCCGATGTGTACAGCAGAGGTTGGCAGTGGCCACCATTCTGGGGATACGTTAACGAGATGCGTAAATAAATAAGAGGAGAAGGTGTTCGAAGCTCGTGTGATATATTCGTTGCAGCTGATCATAATCGAGTCACTTACCCGTCCTGTAGCCCCCCAACATGCCTCTCTTGCCTCAAGCATTATAATATCCAACTCGGGTTTCTGCTCCTTCAAGGTGTGCGCAGCAAACGTGCCCGTGATGCCACTTCCCACAATAACCACATCAACCTTGTTAGGTAACATCGAAGTCGTACGGTGTCCTAGCAACTTCTCTGAAGGTTCTTTCTGCCAGTAGGAGCTCGTCGGATTGTCCACAGGCAGGCCAGATTGACCATCTAAGAGTTGGCATACCATCGTCCTCTTCGAACCTGGATGAACGCCAGATCTCTCGGCAACTGTACGGAGTAGTTGAATTTGTGATAACTGAGTACTTGTAGCCACGGGGGCAAAGTGCCGCGGGTTAGCTAGCGGCTTGGCACGAGTCGCGAAAGGGTACATACAAATTCGCGACACCGCTGCCTAGACAAATGAATCCATCCGACTGATATTATATAGTGAGCAGAGAGATAGGAAAAGCAAATAATGGCGCCAGAGTTCTCATGTTATGACCCATGCCGCTACTTACCTACCTACCTATTGGTTGCTATAGGCGCTGACGGCAGTACCTATTGATACGCGTACGAATAGACTACGGCTGCTACTTCGTACGATGTACAAATTGTCTTAGGCTAGAGCGTTGCCTATTTTGGCTAGACACCGTACCCAATACGGCTAAACACAGGGAGGATAGTTTTGGCACACAGGACGATTACCCGTGCCACGCCCCATTTTAAAGTGGGTCATGGCACGGGTAGAGGGGTCAATGCGCCATTGCTTTGTACCTCTTTTTGGAGGTGCGGGGTGGGAAGCACAGGATTGGCTACTGGTGCGAGGTAGTGGGGGCTACAGCCCCCGAGAGATTCCGTACGCCCGCCTAGCAGGGCAGAGGGCATAATTTGGGGTGCATGTGTGTAAAAAAAAAAATTTCGTTCTTCGTCTCCCTCTCTACTGTACGGAGGCAGCTTTCAAAAGTCGTTGCGAACGCTAAAATGACCCCTGCCTTGAGGAACGAAATGCCTTGAGGAACGAAATGCCTTGAGGAACGAAATGCCTTGAGGAACGAAAGTACTACTCGTCCCACAAACCCACTTAAAAGTGGGTTTGTGGGACGAGTAATGCCTCGCGCCGCCTCCAGAACATTTTCGCGCCCCCCCAATCCCCGCCTTTGATTGGTCGGCTTTTCTCCCCCCCGTATCCCCTCCACGGCGCCTTGAAGCGACAGAGGTCGCCCCTTCGCCCCTTGTTGCCCAGGGAGTACTTGACGCATGTCGGGCTGAGGGTGTGGATCTGCGTCGCGCCGGCGCAGAAGTTGGCCTCCTCTTCGAATGCGGCCGAGAACTGCTCGGCACTGTCCAGCAGGGACTCATGAGACGTCAGACGTCGCCGAACGCTCCGCCTGGACGGCGCAGAAGCCTTCCTGGTCCAGGTCCTGCCTTCCGCGTCAGCCTGCGTCTTCTCGGCCCATGACAGCAACGCCCCGTGCCGTTGCCTACCTCACAGAAGACGCTATCGACATAGCGGATGATTCGCTCACGGTACGCGGCCTGCTCCTCCCCGTGGGCGTCGGAAAGCATCGAGCTCAGGTGCGCGTTTCCGTGTAACCAGAGCAGCCCGTGGACGTGGAGGGATCCTCGTTCGTTGGTCTCCCTGGCACCGTACTCGTGCCCGTCCCACTTTTTATTTTTATTATTAATATATTCCGCCATTGACGATAGTCAGAGGCACTGCGTCAGACTCGCTAAGCCTAATCTAGAGCTGTCCAATACTCGGTTCCCGTCCCACTTTTCTAGTAGTAGTAGTAGTAGTATTGATTACCGTCTGGGACATCCCTATAAGGGCAAAAGACGTGCTAGGCTAGAGAAGACTAGATACATAGAATATCCCGAGTACCTGGACTAAGGACCGTGTGTAGCACCTAACCACTCCATCTAGCAATTCTGAGGCTCTGAGGCCGGTCGGAAATTCGGGGCCCTTCCCCCGTCAGCGGGTTCCAGGCACGGCAGTGAAGCCGTAATAGTAGTCAGTCTTTGGCCGAGGCCGGGTGACTGAGAAAGCCCACGAAGTCATGGGCCGGCCGCAAGCCCCCTCGAGGAGGGCCTACGGGGCAGAAAGAAAAAGAAGGGAAAAAGGAAGCAGAGAGTGTAGCAATGTTAGTCGGGGGTTCGCCCCGATGGCGATTGTCTTCTCCTGCAGGAGCGTTCGATCCGGGACCGCTTCGTGGTCATGACAGTCGGCGAAGTCCCCGTGCCTGCTCTTCGTAGCAAGCAGGTGGTGAAGATGTTGTCGATTGGTGTGCAGCTCCGGGGGGACACCCGGGTGAGGCCTTGAGCTCTAGGCTCTTGTAGCTCCTCGGGGCCCCCGCGGCCCACCAGTCCAGAGGAAGTCGTGGCCGCTAGGCGGCAGAGGTCGGGGCCGCGAGACGGCAGAAGGAGTCAGGGCCGCAAGGCGGCAGAAGGCGAGGCCAGCCAGTAAAGGCGGCAGAGGGTGCAAGGCAGCGCGAGGCGTGCCAGAGAGGGCGAGAAGAAGTCGGGCCGCGGGGCGGCAGAAGAGGTCGGGGCCGCGAGGTGGCAGCAGAAGTCAGGGCCGCGAGGCGGCAGAAGTCGAGGCCAGCCAGTAAAGGCGGCAGAAGAAGGCGATGCCGCGAGGCGGCAGAAGGCGAGGCAGCGCGAGGCGTGCCGTTATTCGAGACCAGCTTCCCAAGAGGAGACGAACTCTCCAAAGTCTGCCTTTGGTGCCTGCTAGAGCCCCGTTAGGGCTAGAGAGGCAGAAGCATGGTCGGGTGGCCTGAAAATTTCTTCATCACTAACAGGCTGCTAACAGCCCGCAGAAGAGAAGAATTTTTACAGGAGAGTTGCCCACTTTTCTAGTGAAGGTGAACCGGAATCCAGAAAAGTGGGGCGGCACGAGTATGCCTAAGCCGCGGTGCAAGAAAGCGGAAGGCTTCAAGGAGGATGAAACGCAGTTGGGACTGCAGCAGCGGCCTACCCAGGATTGTATACTAGTGGATTTCCCTTCACTGAAAAATGGCACTTATGCCTGTTCAGGCTGTAGTCGAGGCGCCTTGGCTTTTAACTCATGCTTAGCGCGATAATCCCTGCAATATGTCTGTCCGAACCTGTCCGTCCGGAGCCATCCCGGGGGTGTTTGTGTGTTGTACTCGTGCCCGCCGCCACTTTAAGGGGATTCGCTTTGGCTCACCGACTTTTTTTTTAAATGGGTCCCCTTAAAGTGGGGGCGGGCACAAGTACAACACACAAACAGAACCAGCTTGGCACAATCAAGGCCCACTTGTATGCTCTCTTCATGAGATCTAGCACTACTCTATATAATATCTCGACCCATACCGCTTCTCTTGCTCTCCGAGCGAACCTGGCATTGCCTGTGGCAGTCCCTTCTCATCTACATTCAACTCTGCTTCGACAGTCCTTTGAAACTCTCCAGGTTCTCCTGTTGCTCTACGCAGCTCCACATGCCAGAATTAGTTCCCCTCTGGGAGCAGCCGAGCCACCCAGGCAGGCTATTGGTCGTTAAAGGGAGCCAGCCCTACAAGACGGCCGCTTTCTCCCTAATTTCTTTGCCAGCGGGAGCCTTCTTCGCGAAAATCAATAGTGCCACTCCTGTCAATCGTCCAACATACACCTCTGTTGCAAGTGGCAAGGATTCGCACCTTGAACTAAACTCCGACCTGGTCTACTGCAACCATTCCTGTAACCCCAGCCTCATTTTCGACATGACTCGCTTCGAGGTCCGGGTTTCAGACACGAGACCATTGAGCATTGGCGATTCGCTTACGTGGTTCTACCCGGCATCCGAGTGGGAGATGGCGCAGGGCTTCACGTGTGAGTGTGGTGAAGGAGACAAATGCCTCGGATTCATTACAGGGTCTTCAAAAATCGATCACTCGGTTCTGGAACGCTACTGGGTCAATGACCACATTCGTCAGCTTGTAGAGGAGCAGATGCAGGGTTACGAAGCCACCGGAGACATAGATGGCTGTGGACCTAAGAGGCTACCCTGACTATTCTATGAGTCTATGTCTCAATGGGGACAAAATGGCAAGCTTCCACCAGACCCGACCATAGCCCTACCCAACTTTGTATGACCGATTAAAGTTCAGGACAATGTGTCCATCGGAGCCGGCCCACAATTGCCCCTGGATGTAGGTACTACTCCGTACTTCGTATCGTTAATCGGCATGGAGTCTGTATTCTCTCGTCAATTCCCTACCTTTCGGTCGGCAGGCGATGCCCTCAACGCCGCCGCCCGGCAGGAGGTCTTTGCCTTGGCTGTCCGCAACAAACGCCCTAATGCCGCCGCTCCAACGTATGTTATTCTCAGCAAGCTGAGAGCGCGGGTGGAAGGATAATGTGACGGCCTAGCACCGTCACACCCCCCCCTTGCATACATGACCCACATGTTGTTGGGCCAACGGCCCACACGTACGGAAGGCATATTTAGGGGAGAGGACACCCAGTTGTATTGTTCGGTTCTCCTTTCTCTTCTTCAGAGCAGAATCTTCGTAATAGAGTCCACAGCCTTCTGGCTCAGTCCGTGACCGTCACAGATAACGGCAAGCACAATTGAGTCCAAACGATGATGCATGTCTTCTTACATATCTGTGCGACATTTGAGGGGGCATTTATACGAATAGATACCTCTCTTGGACCCGTGGAGGCCCTGAATCAGTGCCAATTCCCGCGTATCCCGGTTGGGGCAATGTTCCTCTACTGCATCGATACCCGACTCAAGTCTATGTGTTGTGACCTGCCTCTTCACTAGGGCTTTTATGCGTGCGTGGATTTGACCGTCAGTCTGCTCCCCTCTGACAGTTATGTTGAGGTGCTCCAAGGGCCGCGTTTGGAACGACCAGGGCAATAAGGCTATTCCCAAAGGGAAGCGAAGGAAGACAAACACCCAGATGACGGGCTGTGGACTCGGCAATCTGTTGCATGACATGGTGCGTTGCATGACGCAGTGAGGTACGTTAATGAAGTCCTTTCGTTCCTCAAGGCAAACGCCCTTCGGGCTGAATTAACTTTTTAACTTATTCCGGAAGGGTTGATGGTCCCTACGCTTTTAAGGAGTCAAGGGGGCAGACAAGCCTTAATGGGTACTCAAAATCGACCACTCAAGGCAACACAAAGCATACGATCCAGCGACATGGCGAGAGTACTTACAAGTCGGCATCCGTAACCCCAGGCATGCTGCATCAACGTAGCTTGGTATAAAAAGCAATTTGCAGAGCCGGAAGATAAAGAAGGCATGGTATGAGGACGTTAGTTTCCACAAGGTTCTAGATCTCAAAATCTACTGGTGCCACGTTATACAGCTATGCGGTCATGTCTTTCGTTGTCATCAAGCATCCGCGACTATCGTGGCGGCTTCGTGGCCCTCGAGACGACTCACATCCTCTCTGCGGCCGTAAGATTGACCGCCAGAAACAAATCATGCAGAGATCGTCTAGCTACAGATCTTCGAGGGCACAGTGGAAGGTACCACATAGGTGAAAAACAATGATGCATGTTCTAGTGAGACTGTGAGACATTGAGGCAGTCTTTATAGGTACACATACATACCTCTTGCGGCCCTAGATTCTTAGCATAAGCCTCATTCATGCTTGTTCATGCGTCTTCCTGCAAAGGGTGCAATTCCAAGTCTGCTAACCCCACGGGTCATATTATTAGTAGCCCTTACCAACACACCCCCTTTGTATCAGGCCCGTAAGGAAGCCTGATGCAAACAGTGAATTAAATGATCAAGTGATATAACGATTTGTTGAGGCTATTCAGCGTTGAATTTAAATTCCCTTTCCCGAGGTTCTGTCGCGAAGCTTATAGTGTCGATTGACACTGTCACCTGCACCAACAGGTGGCCATGTTTTTTCGTGACAGGTTCCTTGTGTTGTATCAAGGTCTGTCGAGAAGAAGGTCCGAACGAGTTGAGGTCTCTAGGTCTCTCTAGGTAATACAGCTTGAAACCAGGTAAGAAGGAGGTCTATAGACTATTATTTCTTCTTCCTAGACCACTGAGGGGTCCGGAGGATCTCCTATCCGAACGGGGACCTTCTGAGGAGTCCGGTATATCTCTTACTGGCTCGGGGACCTGAAGAGACTGAACTATCGACCTAATAGCTTGGAAAGCTATTGATCGGGGAGATCGAGCTAAATGTGCTGACGTAGATGACTTACGCGGCCTTCAGTAAGAGGCAAGGAGTGCCCTCTTCCTGATAGAATGTATATTCTACCTGAACACGGGATATAAACATACGTACTAGTTAAAAGGCCACCCCGTCACGCTAAACGGCCACCCAAAAGTGGGTCAACTGTGGCTTGGTCGCCGCGCAGCGCCGATGCCGCAAAGGTGTGTGCGCGCATTCGCTGCCGGCATCGAGGTGCGCGCCAGAGGGCATGTTGAAGCCGCAATTGAAGCCGCAAAGTGAAGCTGGCCGTGATGCAAATTCAAGTACGTAGGGCCATGTTCTTGGGGTCGTAGAAAACACACTTCCGTCAATTCAAATGCAGCGGTAACGCCGGTAGCTATAGTAGACCCTCTGCACACAATTCCTGCTGTACAGACTCCTCCTCATCCACCTGCCGGTCCATCTCGTTAAAATCGGCTAAAGGGTCGTCTTCATCCTCTATATCCTCACCTCCTTGACGAATTGAGGGTATCGGCATTGGCTGCGTGGCACAGCGAATCGTGCCCTGCGTCTCGCCCGGGCCAGTAAGCTCATCGTCAGAGTCAGGCGTGCGGCGTACGGCACGCTGATACGCTCGTGGCATCGCTGTGCCAGGCTCGTACGAATCGCCATTGGCTTGAAGGTATTCCAACCCCGTTTGGTCACATCAGCAGCGCTGCCGGCGGTGTTGACGGTAGCAGCAGCAGCTTTCCTCCAGCCTTGCCCCAGCCTTGCGCTTCTTACCCGTAGCCTTCGTCTTCGAACTTTGGAGAGCCGCCGGCGCTGTGGACGGCGGCGGCCGTGGCCTCGCTGCGTTCGTCGGATTCCGCGATATCGTGTGCTGACGGCTCTCCGCGTGGCCGTTACGACCTCCTGCTGCCTCGAGGTTCAATGAGCCCTTGGGCCGGCCTTTCCGTGCATAGGAGTGGATCGTGAGGAGCATCGTTAGGGCTTGTGCTCTGCCATGCCAGAGCTCGTCAACGTCATTCATTTCGAAGGAACGGCGGCGGCGGCATTGGGCCGCTTGAAAATATCGTGACGGCAAGGAAGGCCAACCAAGACTTGACTTGAAGCCGCAGTGATGAAGAAGATCACAGCGGCCGGGCGGCGGCTTTTCTTGGTCGCTTGAAGCGGCATTCCTTGCCACAGCGCGGTATTCGCCCCCTATCTTCTGGAGCCCAAACTTTGCGGTATCGGACCTTGCGCGCGACCAAGCCACAATTGACCCACTTTTGGGTGGCCGTTTAGCGTGACGGGGTGGCCTTTTAACTAGTACGTATATTTATTTATTTATTCCGCATATGTGGCTCTAGGCTATGACCCTAAGGGCCTAGGCCTTCGAAGGCCGCACTACCACCGCAGGGCTAGCTAATAGCTAGTTAAAGTAATAATCATGGGAAAAGAAAAGACATAGGAAAGCGAACGTGCGGAACTCTGATTGGAATTAATAAGCCAGCCCGAAGTGGGGGGGGTGATGCGTTGGCAGCTAGGGTCCAACTAAGAGCTGGCGCTTCGCTCATTTGGGTTGCATCTACTACTCGTGCCCGCCCCCACTTTATTGGGATTCGCTTAAAAAAGGTCGATATTCTGTTCATTCGGATGATCTGTTCATTTGGGTGATCAGCACCTGTCAGAACCTTGATGAGGTTCTCGTCGGATAGGTCACGGACACAGCAAGAATGGTACGATCGGATGAAGTGAGGTATGATGTGTGTGTCTGTCTGTGTCCCCCATTTGGGGGTGCTCTGCCCAAGCCCTATATCAAAGGGCGATGGCCTCAATCCCTATGACATGCCATCACGTCATATCTCTGTAACTGTCTCATAGATGTCCTCGTGGCCTCATCGGCTGCGCTACCTGGTGCGCTATCGTCTGCGCTACCGTTGGCGCTGCCACTAGTAGCCTGACGCTATCGTAGCTGCATCTACCCGGATTCTACCGGATCTAACAGCACCCACTTCACCCGGGTGAGCTAAAGCGAATCCCCTTAAAGTGGGGGCGGGCACGAGTAGTTGTAGTGTCGTTTAACGTCTGTGATATCCCAAAGGAAAAAGACGTGCTAGGCTGAGGCCGGTCGGAAATTCAGGGCCCTTCCCCCGTCAGCGGGTTCCAGGCACGGCAGTGAAGCCGTAATAGTAGTCAGTCTTTGGCCGAGGCTGGGTGACTGAGAAAGCCCACGAAGTCATGTGCCGGCCGCAAGCCCTCGAGGGCCTAGGGCAGAAACAAAAGAAAAAAGGGAAGCAGATAGTGTAGGAATGTTGGTCGGGGGATCGCCCCGATGGCGATTGTATTCTCCCGCAGGAGCATTCGATCCGGGCGACTTCGTGGTCATGACAGTCGGCGAAGTCCCCGTGCCTACTCCTCGTAGCAAGCAGGTGGTGGAGGTGTTGTCGATTGGTGTGCAGCTCCGGGGCACCGGGTGAGGCCTTGAGCTCTAGGCTCTTGTAGCCCTGGGCCCCGCGGCCCACAGTCCAGAGGAAGTCGTGGCCGCTGGGCCGCATAAAGGGCCGCAAGGTGGCGGAGGTCGGGGCCGCGAGGCGGCAGAAGTCGAGGCCAGCCAGTAAAGGCGGCAGAACGCGAGGCAACGCGAGGCATGCCGTTATTCGAGACCAGCTTCCCAAGAGGAGACGAACTCTCCAAAGTCTGCCTTTGGGGCCTGCTAGAGCCCCGTTAAGGCAATAGAGGCAGAAGCATAGTCGGGGTGGCCTGAAAAATTCTTCGCCACTAACAGGCTACTAACAGCCCGCAGAACTGGCCTTTTTTTTTTTTTTTTTTACAGGAGAGTTTTTGTTTTTGGCTGTGGGTGAGCCAAAGTGAATCCCAATAAAGTGGGGCCGAGCACGAGTAAGGTAAATGAGTCGAAGCAAAATCCAAAATCCAAAAAATGGGAGGAGTAGACGCGTCATGCAGGCAAAGTGAAGTGAACACTCCGACAGATGCAGCTGCAAGTGGCCGTTATGTGGTGCGCGCGAAGGTGTAAGTGGCAGTATGACATCCGACTCCGAACTGCCATGGTATTGTGGTTTACGTCCCCCTTGTCCACAGGCCTGGGTCTCTGGTGCACAGACTACTAGGACAATAAAATGTGGTCGACAATCGTGGCGCGCGGTATGGTTTGCCAATTCTACCAGTCTGCAGTAGTAGTTCCACGTAACTTCATGGAAGGGACGATCGGGTGGTTCTTCTTTCCCTTTTCGCCTCACTCTCTCTTAACTCACAGGTTAGTTGTGCAACCACGGCTCGAGAGCGGAAGTCGCACGCAGAGATCGCAGACATACACGATGGCTAGCCTACGGCCATTCACTGGAGTGCTTACTCGGCTGGCCGCGCGCCAACTCCGGGCTTCATCCGCTACCCTCGGCCTCTCCTCCATCCAAACGAGACTGCACTCGTCCAAGCACCCAAAGGGCTTCGAGCCGCCGACCACCGAGGAGCTTGAAGAGCTGCGCGAGCGCGTGCAGGATTTCACGCGCCGCGAGATCACTGAGGCAGTCGCCGCGCACACCGACAAGTCCGATGCCTTCCCTAATGAGATGTGGCCCAAGCTAGGGGGAAGCGGGCTTCCTGGGTGTCACGGTGGACGGGGATGTTGGTGGCCTGGGCATGGGCTACCAGGCACACTGCGTTGTTATGGAGGAGATATCACGGGCCTCGGGCTCCATTGGTCTGAGCTACGCGGTACACTCGCACGTCTGCGTGAACCAGCTCCAGCTCAACGGCACGCCTGAGCAAAAGCAAAAAGCACCTCCCAGGCCTTGTCGCGGGCACGAGCATCGGCGCACTGGCCATGTCCGAGTCCGGCTCCGGCAGCGACGTCGTCAGTATGCGGACGACGGCCAAGGCGGTCGACGGCGGCTACCTCATCAAGGGGTCCAAGATGTGGATCACAAACGGTCCCGACGCCGACCTCATCGTCGTATACGCCAAGACGCAACCCGACGCTGGCTCCAAGGGAATCACGGCCTTCCTGGTCGGGACCAAGACCGAGGGCGTTAGCTGCACCCGCAAGCTCGACAAGATGGGCATGCGCGGCAGCAACACAGGCGAGCTCGTGTTCGACAACGTCTTCATCCCGGCCGAGAACGTCCTGAGTACGGTCAACGGCGGCGTGCACATGCTGATGGAGGGGCTTGACTTGGAGCGCCTCGTCTTCTCCGCTGGTCCCCTGGGTATCATGCAGGCGGCCTTTGATGTCGCGGCGCCATTCTCTCACCAGCGCAAGCAATTTGGACAGCCCATCGCGCACAACCAGCTCATCCAAGGCAAGCTGGCTGACATGTACACCAAGTTGCAGGCTTCGAGGGCGTACACGTACACCACGGCCAAGCGCCTGGACGAGCAGGGAGTCATTCGCACACAAGACTGCGCAGGCTCGATTCTGTACGCGGCCGAGCGGGCGACCGAGTGCTCCCTCGATTGCATCCAGCTGCTGGGCGGCATGGGCTACGTGGAGGAGATGCCAGCATCACGACTGTTGCGAGAGTGAGTCCCGCCCAACCGATTCCGGTGTTTTGCTCAATGAATTCCTCTGCTCCCGAACGGGTTAGAAGAGAGGAAGGGAAACAGTGCATGCTCAGTGTGATACGATTTTCACTAACGCACCATATACGCTCACAGCGCCAAGCTATACGAGATCGGAGCCGGCACGTCGGAAATTAGGCGCATAGTCATTGGCCGTGCGTTCAACAAGGAGTATGCCAACGCGTAAGGAGCTCAATGTCTCTGTCGCATACGAGTGCTTTATCAGAGCCACTGTCGCCCTCTTCTGTGTATTCCCAATTGCGCTTGGCATGGTCGATGTTGTTACGGGGTCAGCACTGTTGGCACAGGTGCTGGGCGTAATTGATGTAAATTGAGCTACAAAGAGTGTAAAAGGGAGACGTGTCTACCATCGCTCCCTTTAGGAGCCGTGTCCGTGGCGCTCGCATACGGGGGGCGATAGGGGGGGACTGTTGCAAAACCCCCTGTCCATCTCTTTTTGGTCTAGGCGATTTTCCCCCTAGTCATTTGAGTCGGCATTTAAAATGTACTGCGGACTAGCGGCGGGACCGCGCGTTGATATTCTGGGAGTCCAACTGCCAGTCAAAGCAGTACCGGTAATACTGTAAAGAGGCCAGTAGTCAACCTATCACCCACCGGCTGGCACATAAAACTCACAATGCAATTCTCGGAGCCCAGACTTGACCAAGTGACTGATTGTTTTCGGGTGGATCTGAGTGAGAGACACGTTTTTTCACCAAACAGTTCTCGTTTGCCATTGTCATGGAATCGGACAGCGACCGGGAGAAAGAACAGCGAAGTCGCCCAGCTTCCTACCCTAGATGCAGTGCTGGAAAACTTGCAAATGCCCACGCAACTACAGATCCTTCCTTGTATTTTTACTTTCTTGGCACGCAAGTGTTAAGAAAGTAGCCTATTCTCACATACTTTCGCTTAACAAGTGCTCTTGACAAAACTCCAATTGAGCCGCGCGCAAGCGCCGGCAGCGACCATGGCACCAGCCTCAGGTTCGCATGTCGACTCCAATGCCTCGAGACAAGGCATACGATCGCCGCCAAATCCGGCGGCTCACATATCGCATCTCCGACCTCGCTACCCGACGGAAGCTCGCCGAAACGACTCGTTTCCCGCGGCCCAGCAGCTGGCCCAGTCAATCTCGTCCACCGAAACGCCTGAAGCTGCCGTCACGGAAGGAGCGCAGCTGGAAGAAGCCCGAATCTCTTCGACTCGGCCCAGCCCACTGAGCACGCGCCAGTCTCAATCCTCGAAGCGGCCACGAAAATTGCTCGCGACAAAACGGCAGCCCATAACGCCAAGCTGGCAGTCTTACGGGTCTTTAGCGAATCATTCGAACAAGCAGCAAAGCAGTTCACGTCTGGCACCGAAAACAGCATCGCCAAGCAAGTCGCCACCAAATTTCTCAAATTCTGGACTCAATCGCTTGCCGAACTCGAAGAACCACCGAAGCCCACGTACAGCAGCGTTCTTGCATCCGGCAAGCCGAAGCAAGGACAGCTGGCCTTTACAGCCTCCGCCCCACCACAGCGAAAACCACAGACCACCACTCGTCTGCCAGGACGACCGCCCGTAGCCCCACCGAAGGAAGACCTCCGTGTCTTCGTCCGACTTGACGCTGACGCTCCGGCCCGAAACCACGAAAGATACGCAATCCGGACCCACATCGCCGCTAGAGTCGGTATTGACCTGCGCCGCATTCCGGCAGCCTTCCCGGTAAACACGGGCTGGGCCATCCAGGCATCGGATGTGGCCACGCGTGACTTACTTGTGCAACGGCAGGCGGAGTGGGCTGCAGACCTGGAAGCCGCGGCCGTAGAGATAAGCCAGAAATGGCATTCGTACGTGGTAGCCGATTGTCCTCGTAGGCTCACAGACCTACGAGGTGTCGTGATCAACTACGAGGAGGCGGTCAAAGAAGAGATTGCCTGCCAAACCGGACTGAAGCCCATCAGCATACGTCTATCGCGACACGACTCGGGTGATATGCCCACCCAGACCCTGATTGTGTCCTTCCTGGAACCCACACGAAGACCCTGGAGACTTTTCGGCGCCAGCCGTCTCGCCCGTTACATTGACAAACCCAGCATCCCTAGCCAATGCGACAAATGCTGGGATTTCCACGCTCGCCACAGCTGCGACCGGATGGCGCGCTGCAGACGTTGCGGCAAGACCAACCATCGTAGCCAAGAGTGCGCAGCCCTAGAGCAGTGCGCAAACTGCCTCGGGCCACATTGCGCTGACGATCCTAAATGCCCTGCCCGCCCCAAGCGCGTTCATGGCATTGTACGGCGCCTGACGAAAGAGGAGAAGGGTCTGGTGAGGCAGGCGGGAGCTCAGCTCTTCGCGCAGCAGAAAAGACAGACACCAAACCACAACGTGCCCGAGCAGTCTTGTCAGAGCCCTGATTCGAGTCAGTTACGTTCTTCGGAGTCGCAGGCAGCTGGAGAGGATGGAAGCTCCGGCAGAAGCGCCACTCCAGAGCGAGCCGCTTCCTCACCCCCTTGCATTGTCGTGGCCACGACGCCGCCGCACGCTAGCGATGACAACCAGTTCACCCCTGTCGTCCCGTCGAAGAAACGACGCACTAGCCCTGTGACGCTGCCCTAATGCATCACCGTCATCCCAACAATCGAAGCAACAGGAGGGCCTTGCGAGTCTTCCAAGCCAACGTGGGCAAGATCCCTCCGGCGCATGACACTGCGCTCGCGCTGGCTGATTCGGAGCGATACGACATTATCCTGCTGCAGGAACCATGGACAGGACTTAAAGACGGCCGATGCCTCACCAAGACGCATCCGGCCTACGACACATTCTCACCCGTCACCGACTGGGACGGCCGCGACACTCGTCCGAGAGTCATGACATACGTCCGGCGCTCCGCAGGCCTCGTCGCTGATCAAAAGAGACCTGTGGCGACTCGTGACATCCTTTGGCTCACCGTGAACGGGACGACGGTAGTTAACTTCTATCGGCAGCCGGACTACGACGCGGCTTTGGAAATACTGCTTGGCTGGTGCGCGACGGATAAATGCCTTGTATCTGGCGACTTCAACGCCAAGCATCCCAGCTGGCAGGCCGGTCGACAAGAGCACCGCGGTGAAGACATCGCGTTCTGGGCCATGGATAACCGACTCAGCTTATTGAATGCTGTCGATGTCCCGACTAACGCGCGCGGCAGCACGATCGATCTCGCCTTCTCCAATATACCTTTGGCGGACGCGGTTGTTGAGGATCATTTAGCAACCGGGTCCGACCACTTTACCCTTAGTATCACGCTGCCTAGTCAAGCCCTAGCACCCTTCCATTATGCAAGATCCGCCTCAACTCCGATGAGGAATTGAAGCGATTTGTCGAGCTGGTAGAAGCCGGTGCAGCTTTCATCCCGACTACAACCTCAACTCCTCCGAGCTGGACAACTTTGCGTCGGCGCTGGTGGACCTTCTTGGTTGTGCAGCGAGAGCTGCGGGCCGACCGTCCGTAAGACGACGCATGGGGCGCGGTGGTGGAACGAAGAGTGCGCAAAGGCGGCGGCCAATTATCGCGCGTGGAGGAGGTGTACCCTCTCGGCTTCGACCGAGAAGTGCAGCTAGCCAAGCGGGAGCTTCACAATGCAGTGCGCCGAGCAAAACGCCTTTACTGGCGTGACTTGATCGACAGCTTTGCCGACGGCGACTCCGTCTTTCGGGCGGTCCGCTGGCTAATTAAAATCCTCAGGGCCGTGCCAGGCACCTCCCAAGTAGACGGCCGAGTGTACGAGACGCAGCTGGAGAAAGCCACCGCCTTGCGGCGAGCAACCCTGGAGCGGCGCACAGCGAGCGACGACATCCCAGACCCGTGGATTCCCGTGAACACGGATAAGATGATTCCCTTTCCCAATCAGGTCTCCTTCGAGGAGGCTCGCGACGCCACTCTACGCACCGGGAACACATCTCCAGGCTCGGATAACATCACGGTGCGGATGCTTCGCGCTGTCTGGCATGCAATCGGCAGTCTCGTCCATCAGCTGTATCAAGGCTGCCTCACCATTGGTCACCATCCGAAACCTTTTCGGGAGGCAGAAGTGGTTATGATCGCCAAGCTAGGACGCAGAGATCTGTCTACACCCCGCGCCTGGCGCCCCATCTCCTTTTGTCTTGTCTCGGCAAGGGCCTCGAGCGGCTCATTGCACGGCGTCTAGCGTGGGCTCAATCCACTTCGGCGTACTACACCCACAACAAGCCGGCGCGCTCCCGAAGAGGTCGGCCGTGGATCTCGTAGCTGCCTTGGTTCACGACATCGAGGAGGCATTCGCCCGGAAGCAAGTCGCAACCCTGGTGACCTTGGATATACAAGGCGCCTTCGATACAGTTCTCTGCAATAGATTGGTCCTCCGCTTACGAGAACAAGGATGGCCATCGAACCTCGCGCGCTGGGCCGGCTCGTTCATGCAGGACAGATCGGCACGCATCCGCTATCAAGACATCGTGACGGATTCATCGCCCCTCCAGTGCGGTCTGCCGCAGGGGTCGCCCGTCTCGCCGATCCTCTTCCTGTTGTACACGGAGCCGATATATCGCCTAGGTCACTCTCAGGGACGCTTCGGTTACGCGGACGACACTGCCATTCTATGCGTCGGTAATAGCCTTGATGAAACGACCGCCGAAGCATCTCACCATGTACGTGAGCTTCTTTCGTGGGCGCCGCTAACGGGATCTCTTTCGACCCCGACAAGACAGAAGTGATGCACTTCTCTCGAACGAAGCCCAAGACGGCGCCGCCGGTGCTCCACGGCGAGTTTGAGAAACGGCCGGATCGAGCGATGCGTTGGCTCGGCGTTTGGCTCGACAGCTCTCTCTCTTTCAAGACACACGTCGAGAAATGGACGGCCAAGGCGCAAGCTGTTGCCTTTCATCTTAGGAGACTGACGAACACGAAACATGGCCCTCTGCCGAGTGCTATGCGACGAGCCGTCTGCGCTTGCGTCATCCCCGTGCTACTGTACGCGGCGGAGGCCTGGTACCCTGGGCCGAAAAGCCCGCGCTGGACGAAGCCTTCCAAGGAGGGGCCGTCGGGGATTGGCAACCTCGTCAAGAAGATGAGCAAGGCACTCTACACGTCTCTTCGGGCTATTCTGCCAGTGTGGAGGACGACACCGACGAACGTGCTGCACAGGAGGCGGGAATACCGCCCGTTCCTCTACTCCTCGAAGGGCGTCGGACGGCCTTTGCTGCGCGCCTTAAAGCTCTCGACGAAGCTCACCCGCTCGTCCAGCGCACGTCGCGACCAAAAGCTCCCGTCGTGACCGTGAACAAACTTATCAAGTTGAAGTACCAGAAACAGCCACAGCCCTTCCGTACCAGACTGCGGCGAGCCGACGAAATGCTATCGAGCTGCCCGAGACCTGCTTTACTGCAGCGCGGATTTGCCGAAGAGCAGACTGCGCCTCTGCAGAGTGCATCGAAACACGAGACGGCGAAAAAATTTCGCGACTGGCTTCAGGCACTATCGCCCCGAACTCTTGTCGTCTACTCCGACGGGTCTCGTTCTGAGGAAGGCCACATCGGATACGGCTATGCTGTTCACCGGGACGGATCCACCGTCTTGAGCGGCAAGGGCCGTCTTGGAACAGCTGAGGTTTTCGACGCTGAGGCGAAAGGTGCATTGGAGGGGTTGAAGGCAGCGGTGAGCCTTCCAGAAACTGACCGCATCTTTGTCTGCCTCGACAACCTCGCGACCGCAACATGCTTACGGGCACGCCGAACGACTCCTCGCAAGAGGTCTTCCTTGAGTTCCAATCTTTGGCGCGAAAATACGGAGCTGTGGAGGTCCATTGGATCCCCGGCCATGCTGACATCCCAGGCAACGAGGAGGCTGATGCTCTGGCAAAGGCGGGAGCATCACTGCCAGAACCCGCTGATGGCGAACCGACGCTAGCGCATCTGCGAAAAATTGCCCGACTGCAGCGGAAAGAGGCTTTCAGTGCCTGGTGGGAAACCTCTGCGCCGGAGCGATACAGAGACCTGAGGCTTAAAGCCACAACCAGCTGTCCGTCAGAATTGGCGCTCTCTCGGCCCCTGCTTCATAACTTGCTTGCAGCAAGAACCCACCATGGGGATTTTGCTGACTACCACGAAAGGTTTGGTCACGACGATGCGCGACTGACGTGCTCGTGCGGACGACGAAAAGAGCCAGCACACATCTTTTACTGCAGAAAGGTTGCGCCACGGCATCGTATGCGGCTTGCACCTTGGCCGGCTGCAGCCATCAACCGCGCAATCGGCAAGGACTTTGACAAATTCGTCAGGCTGGCGACAGCGAGCTCCTTCTTCGGAGGATCTGCCCACGCCACTAGACGGTCATCATTCTCCTCTCACCCTACCTTTCCTCTCAATTCTTTCTGTTACCTGCTCCGATCTGGGCGGCGTCAAGGTCTCACGACCATGCGATCGCCGAGGTCATCAAGGGCTGCAAGGCCCCAGAAGCAAATTGGCTGATCTGACCACGGGACAGCTTTCTCTTCGTGCCTGGACGTCCCGCTGACGGGCAACAGGTTTGTCATGAGCGCCGTTGAGCCGATGAAATGCTGGATAGTGGGTGAAGTGTACGATATGTAGCATGTAGACACCTGCTAGCTCAGCACGTCCTGTGCCCCGTCTCGGGGACCTGAGCGACCAAAAGTTGCTGGACGGAAAATACACTAAACTAAACTAAACTATTTACAGATCCCACCTTCCCCTGTTTTCTTACTTTCTTGGCATGTAATTGTTAAGAAAGTAGCGTAATTTCCCACCAATTCGCCTAATAACTGCACGTTGATCATTCCAGCCGCGCTTTGCGCTGGCTGAGGCAGCGGCCATGGCATCTGCCACGAGCTCGCATGCCAGCTCAGACCCCCTTTGATCTGGGTGTCCATACCCCGCCTAATCTTGCTCGATTAGCCCGTGCATCTCAGCTTCGACACAGCTCCCCCATTTCGAGCCGCCCCATTGGGCTCACATCCGCGTTCCGGCGACCGGCGGTGACGCCGTCCTCGCCCTTATCCGACTCTCCAATGCCGCCGCTACGGAAGGAGCGCAGCGTGAATCCGCCCCGAACCGGCCGGCTCCGCCGAGTCTGTCAACCTCCACCCGGTCTCTATCGTTGAAGCAGCCAACAAACTCGCCGTTGAGCAAACAAATGCCTACAACGCCAAAATGACAGTGTTCCGAGCCTTTTGTGAATCGTTCGAACAGACTGCGAAACATTTCACGTCCGGCCTTGAACACAGCTTTGCGGAACAATTTTCCAGCAGCTTCCTCGACTTTTGGAGGCAGGCGCTCTCCGACCTCAATCCCGCGCCCGCGCCGACCTATAGCAGCGTCGCCGCCGGTCACCCTGCAAGCCAGCCTCTCGGGGGCCACACCCCCACGGCCGCCGAGGCCCCGCAACAACAACGACCCCGGCAACCAATCTCCCGTCTCCAGGGACGACCATCCCCCGCCCCACCAAAGGAAGACCTCCGTGTCTTTGTGCGGCTCGATGCCGAAGCACCAGCGCGAGACCACAGCAGCTACGCAATTCGGACCCACATCGCCGCCAAAGTCGGCATCGACTTGCACCGGGTCCCGGCAGCTTTCAAGGTAAACTCGGGATGGGCCATCCGAACACTGGACGCTACCATCAGGGACCTCATCGTCCAGCGACAGTCGGAATGGTCCGAGGACCTGACGCGACCTCGGTGGAGATTACTCACAAATGGTACAAGTACGTCGTGCCCAACTGCCCTCGACGACTTACGGACTTGCAGGGCAATGAAGTCAACTACGAGGCGGCCGTCAAAGACGAAATCGCCTGCCAGACCGGGCTCACACCCATCAGTATTCGCCCCAGTCTGCACGATTCAAACGACCTTCCGAGTAAGACACTTATTGTGTCCTTCCTCGAGCCCACCCAGAGACCTTGGAGGCTTTTTGGCTCCAGCCGACTTGCCCGATACAAAAAGCCTCCATCGACAGATCCAGCATGCCCAGCCAGTGTAACAAGTGCTGGGATTTCCATGCTCGACACAGCTGTGACCGACAACCATCCTGCAAGCGCTGCGGAAGGAAGGGCCATGACGGTGAAACCTGCGTAGCCCTCGAGCAGTGCGCAAACTGCCTCGGACCCCATTCCGCAGATTTCTCGAAATGCCCTGCACGCCCCAAGCGATCACATGGCGTCATTCGTCGCCTGACGAAGGAGGAGAAAACCCTTGTCCGACAGATGGGCGCCCAACTATTTGCTCAGCGGAAGCAACAGTTCGAATGTGTAGACCAACCCGAACAGCTAGAACGAGACTCCTCCGAGACTCTCAATTCAATAGCTCCCAGAACTGCTCAGTCCGACGACCAGGAAGCCGAGCACCCAGACGACAGGTCACGGGGCAGAAGCGAAACCTCGGTCTTAAGCTCGACCAGGACCATGTCTCCGCCATTCATTATGGTAACCACGACAGCTCAGCCTCAGAGCGAGGGCAACGAACCCAGACCAGCTTCCCCTTCAAAGAAGCGACGCATCAGCCCCATTGCACTATCTCCATGACGAGATATCCCCGCGTGAATCAAAGCGACAAGAAGACCCTGCGAGTCTTCCAAGCTAACGTAGGCAAGATCTCGCCAGCACATGACTGCGCCCTTGCCCTCGCCGACTCCGAACGATACGATATAGTGCTCCTCCAGGAGCCGTGGACAGAAGCCAAGGACGGCCGATGTCTTACCAAAACCCACCCAGCCTACGATACTTTCTCCCCAGTCGACAGCTGGGACGACAACAGCACGCGGCCTAGAGTAATGACCTATGTCCGGCGCAGACCCTGCTTGATGACAGATCAGAGGAGGCCTGTGGCGACCCGCGACATTCTCTGGCTCACCATCAACAACATAACAGTGGTAAACTTCTATCGACAACCGTACTACGATGAAGCACTGGATATCCTCCTCCAGTGGACCACACCAGGAAGGTGCCTAGTAGCAGGCGACTTCAACGCCAAACATAGTAGCTGGCAAGCCGGCCGGCTCGATGGCCGAGGCGACGACATCGCCTATTGGGCCTCTGAGAACGGCCTCAGCTTGCTCAACCCTGCCGATGTCCTAACCAACCCGCATGGCAATACAATAGACCTCGCCTTCTCCAACATACCACTATCCGAAGCTGTCGTGGAGGAACACCTGGCCACCAGCTCTGACCACTTCACGCTCAGCGTGACACTCGCTGACTTGGCTCCGGCCTCGGTGCCGCTGGGAAAGGTCCGCCTCACCTCTGACGACGAGCTCGCTCGTTTCGCGGAAATGGTGGATTCCGGAGCAATAGCGATCCCAGCCGCGGCCTCGTCTCCCCAAGAGCTTGATTCCCTGGCGTTGGCGCTCGCGGACCTTCTCCAATTAGCAGCCAAAGCCGCCGGTCGCCCCGTCCGTAAGGGGGCACGCAGCGCGCCCTGGTGGACGGAAGAATGTGCCCTCGCTGCGGCGGAATACCGCGCGATTCGGAGAGTCTATCCTCTCGGCTTCAATCAGGAAGTCCAGTCCGCCAAGAGAGATTTCCAGAAAGTCGCGCGCCGAGCCAAAAGGCTTTACTGGCGCAATCTGATCGACAGCTTCACTGACAGCGCCTCCGTATTCAAAGCAGTCCGATGGCTGCGATCACCGGGTGCTTTCCAGCCTCCGCCCCTACAAGTAGGCGATATAGTTTACGAGACGCAGCTAGACAAAGCCAATGCCCTACGGCGGGCGACACTCGAGCGGCGCACGGCGGACGATGACATCCCAGATCCGTGGATCCCAGTCGACACAATGAAAACCATTCCCTTCACGCAACATGTGTCATTTGATGAAGTGCGCGACGCAACCCTACGGACCGGAAACACGTCTCCCGGCCCCGACAGCATCACGGTACAAATGCTCAAGGTAGTTTGGCATGTTATCGGAAGCCACGTCCACCGGCTGTACGAAGGCTGTCTTACCATCGGCCATCACCCGAAGCCATTCAGAGAGGCCGAAGTAGTCATGATAACAAAACCAAGACGACGGAACCTCTCGACCCCTCGTGCCTGGCGACCCATCTCCCTCCTGTCTTGCCTAGGCAAAGGTCTTGAGCGGCTCATCGCACGCCGCCTGGCATGGGCATCCATTCACTACGGAGTCCTCCATTCACAACAAACTGGCGCTCTCCCGAAGAGATCTGCCGTTGACCTTGTTGCCGCTCTGTTGCATGACATTGAGGAAGCGTTTGCCCGCGGCCAAGTCGCCACGCTGGTGACTATGGACATCCAGGGAGCCTTCGACACTGTCCTCCGCAACAGGTTGATCCTTCGTCTTCGTGAGCAGGGGTGGCCAGAACATCTCGCGCGATGGGCTGGTTCCTTCACGCATGACCGCTCGGCGCGCGTCAGATACCAGGACGTCACGACGCCCAGCTCGCCTCTCCAATGCGGCCTCCCGCAGGGATCGCCAGTCTCGCCCATCTTTTTTCTGTTGTACACGGAGCCAATTTACCGCCTAGGCAAGCCGAAGGGGCGCTTCGGCTACGCAGACGACACGGGTATCCTATGCATAGGTAACTCCTGGAGACGACAGCCGAGAGGGCGTCGCGCTATGTAAACGAACTTGTGGCCTGGGGCGCCGCCAACGGCATAGACTTCGACCCTATGAAGACTGAGGTCATGCATTTCTGTCGAAGCAAACCTAAGGTCAACCCGCCTATATTTCACGGTGACTCAGAGAAGCGCCCCGACCAAGCAATGCGATGGCTAGGCATCTGGCTTGACAGCACCCTGTCGTTCAAGACGCACGTGGAAAAGTGGACAGCCAAGGCTCAGGTCGTGGCATACCATCTGAAAGGACTGGCAAACACCAAACATGGCCCTCTTCCTGGTGCCGTTCGCAGAGCCGTAAGAGCATGTATCGAACCGGTGCTGCTCCACGGCGCCGAGGCATGGTACCCCGGATTAACCAGCCCGCGATGGATCCAGCCAGCAAAGGAAGGACCATCCGGGATACAGCAACTGATCCGAAAGATGAACAAGTCGCTTCACACATCCATCCGGGCCGTCCTGCCGGTTTGGAGGACGACACCGATCAATGCCCTCCATCGAGAAAGCGGCATCCCACCGGCCATTCAACTGCTCGAGGCGCGTCGAATGCGCTTCTCGGCCCGCCTCAAGTCTCTCGATGAAGCCCATCCGCTCGTGAAACGTACAGCCCGGCCCAAGCCCCCTGCCATCCACAGGTCGATCAAACTGAAGTACCAGATGCCACGAGAAGGCTTCCGGACCCGACTTCGACGCAGCGACCAGCTGCTGCATTGCAGCAGGCGTCCAATTCTCCTCCCTCGCCGCTTCGGCGACGATCAAGCGCTGCCTCTGCAAACCGCCACGAAAGACCAGTCAGCAGCGGAATTCTGCAGTTGGCTCCGGTCAGTACCACCGCACACTCTGGTCGTCTACTCAGACGGATCGCTCTCCTCGGAAGCAGCCGTCGGTTATGGCTATGCCATCCATATGGATGGGCAAACCGTGCTAAGTGGCTGCGGCCGACTTGGGCCGGCTGAGGTTTTTGATGCGGAAGCGAAAGGCGCGCTCGAGGGCCTGCGCGCTGCCCTAAGCCTCCCACGACCGCAGAGAATAGTCGTTTGTCTCGATAACATCGCGGCGGCAACATGCCTCAGAGGCATGCCGGCAGACTCCTCCCAGGATGTCTTCCTCGAATTCCAGGCTCTGGCCACAGCACACGGTGTCACGGAGGTCCGCTGGACCCCCGGCCACACCAAAATCCCCGGCAACGAGCAGGCTGATGCCTTAGCAAAGGCAGGAACCTCTCAACCCGAGCCCGCAGGCGCTATCCCAACACTGGCATATCTGCGCAGGGCTGCTAGGCAGCAGCCTAAAAGTGCATTTAAAGCCTGGTGGGAAGCCTCCGCACCCGAACAGTACAAGCCACTGCACCTTAAGCCGACGACCGGCTGCCCCCTGGAGCTCAAACTCCCCCGACCGCTTCTCCACCACCTGCTTGCAGCCAGAACCCGTCACGGGGACTTTGCCGACTACCACGAGAGGTTCAACCACGACGATGCGCGACTGACGTGCTCATGTGGCCGACGAAAAGAGCCAAACCATGTCTTTTATTGCCGAAAGATCGAGCCGCGGCATCGGATGAGGCTGACGCCCTCACCTACTGCAGCAGTCAATCGCGCAAAGGCAGAGACTTCGACAGGTTCGTCAAGCTGGCGAAGGCGTCCTCCTTCTTTGAATGGGCTTGCCCTCGCCACTAGGCGGCTGCATCATACCTTTCCCTCACCTCTTTCCTTTGTTCAAATCCCCCCCGGATTCGGCCAGGCAGAGGGTGCTGCAACACCTTTGCCCGGCCGGGCCAACTGAGGCTGCGCTCTGCAGTCTCCGACAACGGTCCCGGAGACCAAAACTGAATGGCAATCTCACCGCCGCGCCTGCACGACCCGCTGACGGGCACCAGGTTCAACACGGAGCGCCTCAGAGCCGATGAAATGCTGGATGGTGGTTGTTTACGTTTGCGAGAGGAGACTGTAGACAGCCTACTAGCTCAGCACGTCCTGTGCCCCACCCAGACCTGAGCGGCCTCACGGCCGCTGGACGGAAAATGCACATACATACATACATACATACCGCCGACGCCGACGACGATTTCTTCAGCCAAGCCTTCTTCAGCCTCAACATCAGCCTCTACAACAAGCCGATCGTTGCGTCCGAGTGGCAGGAACAATACTTCCTGATGCATGGCCGCGTTCATCCCTACGTCCTTGCATGGGACCTCGACCCGACCCTTGGCGAGGACCGGTTGAGGGCCGTCGACTACTGCGCTCCTGCGCTGATTATCCGCGACCTTGGCTTCCAAGCGTCTGTATGAGTGCCCCCGAGCTGACGATCGAATCCTCACATGCGCAACAGGATTGGCCAACGATCGACCTCTGCGGATCGATCCTTTCCCACAATGTCGCCTGTCGCAGTGATCGGAATGGTCCGGTATGGTATGGTATGACCTCTATACCATACCATACCACCTGCTGATATCCTTACCGGTATGGCTTACCGGTAATACCAGTAATACCGCCAAGACCGCTCAGAATGAGGCGGGTTGCAAAAATAGGGAAATGTATTGGCTACTAGTTGTCAACTTGATCGCTTATTCGCTTTCATTCTCGCTATCCCCGCTATCTTCGCTATCCTCAGCCCGAGGCTTCCCATACCAGGCACGTAGACACTCACAAGCCTCTATGATATCTGCCTTAAGCCTACCTCGACGATCAACTATACCAAGCTTTGCGCTACTAAACAGCCGTTCGCACTCATCTGACATTGGGGAAACCGCAAATAGATCCAGAGCGAAGCGGGCGAGGTCTCTTTGCGAGTCATAACGGGATAGCCAATAGGCGATGGCCTCATCGCAACCTGCCTCCTCGTCATGCAGCCGGTCGGTCGAAATATACTGCTCATACAGATCGGTGGCAGCAGCCGGGCCGTCTATGCGAATGCGCTTATGTTCCTCTGCCGATCGAATGCTGGGTCTGGATCCTTGTCCTTCCTGACTGGAGGTGGTAGCGCCTCAACAGGGTACTTTCCTTATACTCTGTCTCCCAGAGCTGCTTCACCGCCAGCTGTGCGCTTTCATACCACTTCTGTCTTCCTTCGTCGCCCTGAAGAACCCATTCTTGCCTGAACCATGCCCACTTTCGATACGGATTGAGTACTTGAGCTGCGTAATACGCTGGCGGAAGATCAGTATCTTCAGGAAATCGATGTTGCCAATTCCGTTGTCGGTTGCTGTAATACTCCTCGCACTTTGACCACGCAGCATCTGCACAACCTTGGAGATACCTCCACGTGAAGTTGTCGTCGTCGTCTTCCTCGTGAATGTCATGGTAGTGATCCTTCGTCTCGTTGATCTCGCGGAGAAGACAGTCCAAAGTCGAAAACCAGTCAGCGAGGGATGTCTTGTTTCCTTCAGCAAGCATAGTTGCCGCGAAGAAGTCTTTTAGTGCGAGCTCGATCTTTCAAGCTCGAACCAGTGCTGTCCATCTAGTTTGAAGTTCGAAATCCCTTGAGACCCTCTCCTGGTACATGACGAGCTGAGAAGATTTCCAAACGTTCTCGAACATTTAACGCTCGTGTGATCGAATGAAACCACGAATTCCAGCGTGTGGAGTTGTTCTGGATAAGCTCGAGCCCATCGAATTCGGAGAGATGGCCGCCGATAATAATTGCTGCAAACTCCTCCCGCCTTTGAGGAGTAAGCCGGATGTACCGCACAAGGTTATGGAGCCGGCCTAAACATCCAAACTTCTTCCACAGCTCCTCTACCTTCACGTAATCTCCGCGCTGGTGGTGCTTTCAAGCTTCGCCAAATGCTTCTCACAATTTCGACCCATGAGAAACGCCTGGCAGCAGAGGTTGACAATGTGACCCAAGCAGCGCAGTCGGCGATGGCGACGCTGTTGCGGCTTCATCCATGGGCAGAGCTCCTGAGTATAAACTCAACAGCGGTATCATTGGATGAAGCATTGTCCAGCATGAAGTATCCAATCTGATCTCCGCCAATGTCATATTCCGTCAATAATTCGAGAACGGTCGACCCAAGATTCTCGCCACTGTGCTCGCCATGAACGCGTCGCATGCCCAGGACGGTACTTCGTCGCTTGCCGGTGGCGTCAATCCACATGGCGACGACACCCAGGATTGCGTACGGGTTTGGCGAGGTCCAGAGGTCGAAGGAGATGGAGATTCTACTCCGCGACCGCTGGAGGTCCTCTTTCAGCTGTTGCTTCTTCGACAGGAACGCATCCATAACCCAACCTCGAATTGTTTTCGCAGCCTTTGGGAGGTGATTAAGTAGAGCAGGGTTCAGAAAGAAGAGTAGCTCTCGGAAGTACTGGTTCTCCAACTGGAAGAAAGCAATATGGCAGTACACAACCCAACGAATCAAAAGCTCTTTGAACCTCTCAACGGTATCTTTCCAGAAAAATTGCTACTAGCAGCTGCGCTTTTCTGTTGCTCCAATACAGACGCCCGTGTCGCACCGCGTTTCCTCACGCCGCTTTGTGGATCAATCTGGTGCCTCTGTTCGAGATGATTTCTCACTCCCGACGTGCCATTGATCACAAATAACTCTTGCTTATACTTTCCGATCGCACATTCGTGACAGTAGTATACCTCTTTCTTGTCACTGTCTCGGATGTAATGAAGACCGTACTTCCACACATGCGACGAGCCGAGACGAGCTGCCTTCTTCGTCGTCTTCGCGCGACGCAGGTACGTGACATGGTCTTGTACGAATTCGTCCGGAGGCTCAGGATAACGGACAGAATTAGACGATGGCGTCGTAGCGGAAAAATGTGGCGCGGGACACGATGCAGGAGATCTGGAGCGGATTGATGCTGAACTTGTCGTAAACGAAGATGGCGAGGTTGGCGCTGGAGATTCCATGATCATGACATACACCAATTAAGGTATGGTGGCTTTCGATCATTCGATCTTGGTCCATCGTCCAACTAGCCTAACGTAAAAATTTTCGGGCTCCAACATCACGGAAGTAATTCGATTGAAAGGATCATTTAAGCTTTCCTGTCCCTGAAAGGATCATTTAAGCTTTTCCTGTCCCTCCGACGACGCGATTGACAAGTCTGGCCAGTGATACGTTAGGTCATGCTCCGTCCTACATGGAAGAACTCATAAAACTGGGTGCAATGAGAAGTACTTTCTAATACGCACTAACACTCGCCTTACCTTCGGGCCTTCCTGGGATAGCTACCCGGCAGCAAAGACGAAAAGCATCCGTTCGGTGCCGGGATCGACCTGACCAAGGTAGCCAGGTCGATATTGTGAGGATGATGGTATTCATGATTGAATGGAGTAGATAAACTGGCAGAAAACTGGTCAATAAGCCCTACAGATGACACTGGAATCATCGCCGCTCGGATTCTGCCTGGTCATTCTCCGCAGTGAGCCTCTTACCTGAGCTTATTTTTAGCGTTACTGGTATGATTCGGTATACCGGTAATACCATGGTATCAAGTTTTTGTCAAACCATACCAGGTCTTGGCGGTATTTACCATACCAATACCAACTCATACCGGACCATTCCGATCACTGGCCTGTCGCTAGCTTTTCCGGGCCCATTATTGGCTCCGGTTGTTCTCTTCTTCGCCGCGAGCTCGTGGCCGGCCTGGGAGACGACCAGCTTAAATGCTGTGGCTTCGTGCAGTTGTCCACCTATATTGTTCCCGGCAACCCGGCAGAAACCCCGTTCGGAGGATTTCATCCTTTTCAGGTGTTTGTCATGTTCCCAATCCATGCTAACCCCTGGACGTCCCTCTGCGCCAAGATGATTGAGAAGAGGCAGACCCGGTTTCAGAGTCATACCTTGTTTGTGTGTACAGGCAAGGTGGTAGCCTTTCTCGATCATCGAGTTATGGTTCACCCACCAGAGCTGGACCGCGATCTTGTCTTCATCGTCGTGCCAGACACTTGGACTTTCTACAATAAGCCGAGCTTGGATGCCGTCTTGGCCCCTTCTTCGCCGACCGAGCCGCCCAAGCCGCCATCCGTGACTTCTACGGCCAGTATTCTATCGCCCTTGAAACGGAAGGCCTGCTAGAGACCTACGGCATGGCACGGGCAGCACGCTGACGGTAGCTTTAGCTCGGCTCGGCGTATTCGGTACTATGAGCTGCTATAAGGGCATCTTGTGTTGCATGGCTAGGTATGTTGCGGCTTTCACGTTCATGTTTGCCTCACATATAGATTGGTGAACAGTATCCCTACGGCTCATCCCGTTGCATTATCCACCTTTGCCGGCCGCTGACCTCTCCAGCTGAGACATGGACAACGCACACCTGCATTGGTGCCCTTCCCGTCTTCGTCAATGCAAGTGAGAAAAGTGAACATGACATTTGCAGCCATCAATTCGGCCTCTTCTGTCCACACCTCTGTTTTTTCTTCTCCCATTTCTCGCTCCTTCGCCAACTTTCGTTCCTCAAGGCTATTTGCGCGAGCCCCGACCGGCGAGCCTTCTCCTGTCTTCCTCATCAAACCGTCCCTCCAATCCAACACAGTCATGGCTGATTCTATCTCTTCAACGAAAACTTGCAGGAGCTGCAAGCAGGCCAAGCCGGCCGATCAATTCATATCGAAGAAAAAATCTTCCATATCATATAGAGGACTTACGGCTGACTGTCTCGACTGTAGGAATCGGCGAGCCTCACGCGCCTCTAAGCGTACGGCAGAACAAGCTGAGTTATCTCCAATACGTCGACCAGGGTGGTTTTCCATATCTAAATATGGAAATACCCTTTCTGTAGGAATGTATCTATCTAGTGGTGTGACCAACCATGGTTGGCACGTGACCCGTACGGTCACGTGTGCGGCTGAGGCAGCGTGCCCCTTTCTCCACGCTGGCCTCTGCCTCCTTAGATAGAGAACAAGACGAATACAACATCACAGGTTAACCCTAGTACCGTCTCATTGCAGCAGCTGCCGCAGGTGCCTACCACACTGATCAGTGACCGGCCCACGCCCGTCACAGACAGCTAAGTAGAAGAGACAAATTCTCAACCTTCGAAGGTGCTATAGTCCGCGTCACTTTACTGTGGCCCTGAGTAGCGCTCAGAAGAAGGTTATTTGTGCTAAGAACAAGGAATCTCCCGCTGGTTTGCCCAGCCGCGCGAGAGTCCTTCCAACTGTTGATTACGATCGCCCGCTAGTTTGCCTAGCCGTGAGCACCGGAATCGACAGGCGACCACATCGCAAACAACTAGTAAGAACGTTCGACCCTTGACGTTAAGTAGCAAGATCCCCGTCAGTTCAGTCTGGCCGCGAACGACCTACTTAGTACGCGACGCTCGACCTCCTATTAGCGACAACTCGTATACGAAGAGACCAATACGAACCCCACATCGTCTCATTCATTTGATCACGATAGCCCCGACCGCCCGAGCTATGTCCCCAGAAGCCCAGCTCGAAGAAATATGCGACCAGATGCAGGCACTAGACATCCAAGCATCCGCATTCCGACAAATTAATATCGACCTTTGGGACAACGATATCACACACGACGAAAAGGACAAGATCGCAGTAACGACATATGTGGCAAAGTTCATATTCATCGTTCAATCTGGCAGTGATCAAGGATACGACCTCCTTGGTTACTTCCAACAGCATTTTGAAGAATGGACCGAAGACACATGGGACCGCGCCCCGAATGAATACAAGAGAGCCCTCAGGAAACTACTAAGGAAAAGAGGTATCTACACAGGTTCACAAAGGGGAAATTGCAACACAATTTCTCATATTACAAACTATCGAGAACCCACAAACCTGGCCAGAGCAGGAGTTTACGGAGATGGTGTTTGATGAGAGGACTGCTGCCTTCAGGAGGCAGACAGCATTACTAGGATCAAATGCTTCCACTAATCCCCATCCGTCTCAACCTCCTTCACCATCAGTTACGCCCTTAGCAGCACCTCATCAAGGTCTTAACGAACCACAACCTATTAAGACCCTAACGAGCCCTCCTAACGCACCTACTCCTGCTCCGACTATCCAAGATAAACCTGCTCCGACCTCTCTTACTATTCATCCGACTTCCTACCGCTTCCAGAACCCCGATCTCGTCCAACCCGTCACCAACCCCATCCCCGAACACTTATCCGGCCCTGCAACCTTTGGAGAATACATGAAACTCCCCCCGGATAACATCCCGAACGCTATCGTCGATAGCGACATCCAGCAGAAGTTTATGAAGACCTGGAACAAAGATCGGAACTACACAGGAGAGCCGTACGATCTCCTTGATGATAAGCTCCGCCTCTTCTTAAGCAACTGCTCTCATATCCAAGTGAAACCGTCACAATTTCACGCACTCTTTCCCCGGATCCTTGATGGAAGAGCCCAAAGATTCTATCTTGATAAGATCACATGGGCTACGACGTTCCGACAAGCGTATGATATCTTCAAACAACACTTTGACACGGAAGTCAACCATGTCCACTACCATACTGACTGGACAACAATAACCTTTAACTCCATCCGTGCCCAAGATGCTTCGAAGACCCCACGAAGTGCTTCAAATCCTCTTTGATAAGCTTCAGCTCTGCCAACGAGCCCTTGGCAGGAGTACGCAGGAGACCTTCTACTGCGTACAACGCTTATGAAAGCATGCCGTGGAGTACCCGAACTCCAATACGCTCTTTTCAAACCCGCCGATAACGTCGAGCACCTTCTTGCAGATCTTCGTGCATCCGTTGAAACCCATCTTGCCCTCATAACAACTTCTCAATTTCCCTTGACTTTGCTGGATCATTCGATCATAACGATCCACGCCATCAGTACTACCTCGACCGTCGATACAATAACAACCGCTCTCGAGGCAGATACGGATATTCAGGTCAACGACCCAGCCGCGGATACGGACAAAGCTACAACCGTGGAAACTACCGGCCTCAAAGCCGTAGTAACTACAATCCTAGCTACAATAACCGCAACTGGACAAAGAAGTGTTTTGTTTGTGGACAAGAAGGCTGTTGGTCAACTAAACACTCTACGGATGAACGACAAAGGCCAAGGACCAACATATCACTCAATGCCACTTCATAGGTGTACAACTCACGGACATCGGAGGCTATATTCTAGACTACGAAGGTCATGAGATGAGCAGCTTTGATGACACTGAAGATACATGGAAGAACATGACAATAGCACCAACGATCACCCGGAACAATGGCAAGCAAGCCAAATGCTCTGTCAACAGGCATTCAATCATTTGATCACAGGAGAAGACGTCTATCAGAC